GTTGATCAAGTGCCATTGGAGTCATTGGCCATCCTTTGTTGTTTTGGACCTTATACTTGGTCTCAAGAGAGTCAATGTAGTTATCGAGGGATAGCCATATCTTTTTGGCATTGATGTCTCTGATAATTCTGATGCCAAGAAACCATCGGAGATCGCCCATATCTCTGAGTTGGTAATGGTTGTGAAGATCATCAGTGATCTTTTTGGCCTCTTCCTGCAGGTCAGGGAGGAAAGCGATCACTATATCGTCTACAAATATAAAGACGATGATCCCATCTCTCATGAAGACACACTCGTCTTCCTCAAGTTGGCGAAAGCCTATTTGCTTCATAGTTTTGGTAATGTGACGTTGCCAGAGGAGAGGCGACCTCCTGAGGCCATATAAAGCTCTGAGAAGCAAAAGACAACTCTCATATTCCTCAAAGCCAGGTGGGTGTCTGACATACACCACCTCATCTAGCCAGGCGTTTGTGAACGCATTGACTGCATCTTTTTGCCAGAAACGAAGTCCAAACCTGGCTCCAAGGGCCATCATGGTTCTGAAGGTTCTGGCAGCAAGAGTTGATGCTGAAGTGTCGAGATCGTTCGGCGGTTGAAGATTGCCTTGGACACAAATCCTTGCTTTGAACTTGTGAAGATAGCCGTGCTTGTCGAACTTATAAGTGAACACCCATAATAAGGGGATAATAAAGTGTTTTTCCTTGTCGACGTTGCAGATCTGAACTCTCTTCCATGTGGCGATATCCCAATGGTGTTTTAGCTCAGATTCACAAGCAGCTTTCCATTCCTTGAAGAAGGGGTGCTTTTGAGCCTCTCTCCAGTTTCTGGGAGTTGGAGGAAGATCTCTCTTGTGCATCTTTCTTGTCGCATCCATCGTTGCGCTATGGAGTGCGCTTGTGTTGGCGGATATGTAGGCGATATACTGCTTCTGATAGAGACCTCTCGATTCAGAGCCTGCTGCCTCTTTACTTGGTTTCCGTCGCCTCGGGGATTTCAGGATGTTGGAAGAGTCAACCCCTTCACTTTTGTCGTATTTCTGGCGTCTTTTGATAACGTTGCTGAGGGGCTGTTGACCTACACCTTCCAAAGTGTTATTGTTGGAAGTATTGCTACCATCTCCACTCGTTGGAGTTGGTGAAGTCGCTGATTGGGTTGGTGATGAACCTTCTGGTCGAGGGGAGCCTTCCACCCACCCAGGTTCGATCTGATGGTCCCTATGTAAGGGTTGATTTTCTTCTTGTTGAGACACTGTCTCTTCTGTGTTGACATAGATGGTTTCATGGATTACTTCGTCTGAAGTAATGGCTGACGATGAAGATGGAAGTGGAGGGCTACTAGACATCACCCCCCAGCCGAAGAGATATCGAGGCTGGTTTCTGTTCCTCTTACAGAACTGCCAGGCTGGCTGGATAGGCGGTTACCTAGCGTCACTTCTTCCCTAAGACAAGGTAGAGTTGGAAGACTATTATCTGGAGCGAAAATAGAACTTTGGCGGTCTGACGGATGAGTTGCATAGGTATCTGGGGCCGCGAAATCCTCTAGAATGGATTCGATATCGTGATCAATATCGTCATGGAGTTCCAACAGGTCTAGATGCCCTGTCTGCTCTCTTATCTGTACGGCATCAAGTTGCTGGACTTCTGAAGGATTGTAGACAACTGATTCGTCAAATGACACGTCTCTGGATCTGAAAACCTGATTCAGAGTAGGGACCCATATGCGATAGATGTTCGAGCTATCATATCCACAGAGATAGCCAATATGAGCTCTAGGTGCCATCTTGGCTGACTTTTGGCGGCCAGCCATGTAGTTTTTGGTCAGAGGATAGGCTCTGCAACCATATCTCTTGAGATGGCTAAGCGATGATAGTTCTGGGCGCTTTGTACCCTTGTTGGCATTCAGCCACGCATTCGTCTTTCCTTCTGGTGTCATCCAGTTGATCTTCCTTCTTGGAGTTCGGTTGCCAAGATAGACGGCTGCCGCTGTTGTCTCTGGCCAGAGTTGTGGGGGAAAGTTTGACTGTATACAGAGAGCTCTTGCTGCAGCAAATATAACTCCCCCAGCTCTCTCGGCTTGGCCGTTTTGTGCTGATGTGTATGGTGCTGTTCTCTCCAGAATGATCCCTTCCTCGGAGGTGTAGTCCTCTATGTTGGTCTGTAGAGACACATCCCCATCAAGCCGTAAAAATCGTACAACAATATCGTATTGCACTGAGAGAAACTTGACTAGTTGCTTGATAAATCGGAGGCCAAGAAGTCGTCGATGTGGAAGTGCTCTCTGGAGCTTCAGCTTGGTGTATGGGCATGTGGCGATAATACTGACTTTCGCCCCATTGTACGCTTCCTCCATCAGAAAGAAGTCAATGTTGATCCTCTCGAATGGGTAAGTGGTTTTGTAAATTGGTTGACGTCTTGAGATGCTCCTCATTGCTTTGGCCTGTCTACATGTCTCGCAGTCCTCTATCAGAAGACCCTCTATTCCTGCATCTGAGGATGCCTTGGATAGGTGTTGAAGAGCCGCCTTATTTGCGTGGCTGAGTCGTTCGTGCCACAGTTTGGCGTTCTCCTTGCTGGTTGCTCGAGGCTGAGAAGAGGATGAGAAATAGACTGCCCCTTGGCCGTCAGGAGGCTCGAGATGATACTGTGATTCTAGTATCCAGATTTGAAATTGAGGACTGCCCTGATTGTCTTCAAGGCATCGTTGCCTTGCCGAGAACCAAAGTCCTTGCTCCTCTAATCTGATGGTACTGATCAGGGTAGTTGGAGCGTCTGGTACTAAATATGCGCTGTTGATTCGCAATTGATGAGGTTGGCCCATTGCATCTACTGCATTGACTATCATGGTCCCTTTTGCGGTTGCAATAATAGGCCCATTTGGGGTGTCAAAGGTCTTCTTGACAGGGTTTAGATCTGCAAAGCGAGATTTGTCCCATGTGAGGGTATCTGATGCCCCGCTGTCAACAAGTACAGCGTGTTTGTTATCGCTGGCTTGAGCGATGTGCTGACAGCTGCCATTTGGTTCTTCTGGCACTGAGCTGGTATCCGACCAGTCAGTATCTGAGTCTGATGGACTGGATGCCCGTATGTAGTTGGCCTTGCTGGCCTTCTGTTCTGCCAATTGGTCTGGAGAGACGCTCTTGGTCCTGCTTTGCTCTATCTTTTCCTTTAGCCTAGGGTTGTTGGCAAGGAAATCTTGAGCCATCTGGATCTTCGCTGTGTCTCCAGTCCAGCCGGATGGACGAATGTATGGGTTCAAATAGAAGCATTCCTGATAAAAGTGCTTCTTCCCATCTAATAGACAAAAGGGTTTCGGCCTGTTGTCCTTATCCTTTGGTTTTCGGCCAAAAGAAGCGTTGTTGGTGTTGCCCTTGGCTGAAACCCGTGGAGATTGGCCTTCTTCACGCTGTTGCCAAGTGGCATATGCACCGCCTGATTTGGAGTCTTCATCTCCATGCCCAGCCTCTAGCCAGGTTCTCAAATGCTGAAGGATTTTCTTGCCTGTCAGCCGTTCTGATGGATCAACGTCGTCAATTTCTTCCCTGGTTGTATCCCTAGCCATGGGAGCGACGAAGTCTGGATATACCCCTTTCAATGCGTTGAGAAGGGTGGTTTGTTGATGAGGTACACTCATCTCTTCACAGCCCAATCTGACTGCTTTGGAGAGATTGGTCTCACAAGATTGAATCCACTCTTGGGTGCCTGATCTCTTGATCCTCATGAGATGATCTCTATAGGTCTTGTAGGTAAGTCTTTTCTCCGCTTGAGGAGATCGTTGATACCTGTCCTTCAGGCTTCGCAGGGCTTCTCTTGGAGTATCAGCATCCACTAGCCAGGAGAGCATGGTTGGCTCGATAGTGGTGGTGATGTCTCTCATGGTTTTCTGAAGCGCCTGGGTTCTTCGCTCGTACTGCCTAAGCTCCTCGATATATACTCTGCTGTTGGCGTCAAACAGAGTAACTTGGTCGCTATTTGGGTCGACTGGCAGTTGTGGTCTGATAGGCGCAGTCAAGGCCTCATCAGAGTCAGGGTTGCAGAACTGCCATATCCCGTTAGATTTGGCATTCATCCTGATGAAGGTATACCAGTCTGGCCAGTCAGATTGGCTTTTAAGGCGAATAGTAGTCTGTACGGTAGACATCTTGTCCGATAGACTAATAGGTCGGTTGTGATACCCGTGGATTGACCAGGTGCCTGCCTGGGCTGCTAATAGACAAAGAGGTAGTTGACTGTGTGATGCTTATTCAGAGTATCCAGTGGTCAGAAAGACAACTGGGCTCATAACTGTTGGGCAGCGATTATCAGGTAGGGGGTCAATGGGATGTATTGATGAGTATGAAGAACGAGTGGCTATGGGAATATCCCGACTATCTATATAGTGAGTGGAAGACCCTTTATACTGGCATATCCTTGGCAAACTTAGTCATGCTTGTGTAAGACCATATTGTTTCATAGGCATGGTGTGACAATCGTTGTAACGAGTGTACTGGGATGGGCCTGACACTTACATTGTAGGCAGGAGTCGGTCGAAGTAGGTAGTGACGGCCTGGGTGGTTGCCCCACCTTTATCCGGCCGTGATGACTAAGCCAGTTGTCCCACTTCGCCCAGGGCAGGTGCCAGCCAGCCCATGGTACCTGCCTATTACTCCTTATCAGCCTTTGCTGTTCCAACAGTAGGAATACCTATTAGCCTAGGGTCCCCCGAGTGTCCCCCCTTTGCCCCCCTTCCCCTCCTCTCCCTTGTCTGATCCAATACCTCCCGTGTCCCAACAATCCAAGATCCTTCACTGTGACCGACTACCCCGTTCCCCGCATTTCTCCGCAGCCGACCCAAGCTCCAGCGCTCCATCTCCGCCCCCTCGGGTTCTGGGCCCAGGCTCAGACGCAGACTATCCTCATCTCACTGCAACCTGATCTGGTCCGTTCAAGGGAGTGTCGGAATTAGACTTTGTCTTTCGTCAACAACCTTGCCCTGAAAGATCTGTCCAAGTCCCACGAATTACCATGACGGAGACAATCAGTGAATGGCTTCCTTTCGATGCCTCGCAGCCCAAGCGCCGGCGGGCCGAGCTTGTCTGTGTAGTCTTTCACGGCAAGAAGGTCAAGTGCGATCTTCAGGTTTGTCTTAAGAGACGCACAATATTTTCGGATCGCTCTGACCACGTTTAGGCCAGAGCTTCTGAAGGATACCAGAGTTGTACGAACTGTGATGCCTGGGAGAAAGAGTGCCATCTTCGGCCTTCGAAGCGGACAAAATAGCGACGTCTTGTTCGACCAGGTCACTCAAGTCGCGTCCCAACACCACCAGCGACATCGGCTTCTGGTGATGAAGCAACCGCCTCACAAACGGATGCCGTTGCCGATGCCATCCATGTTCTATCAACAGGCTTTAATGAATTCGTTCCGCCACCTCCGCCGTCCCGCTCTCGCAACTCAGTATCAGAGCAGCACAGACATGCCTCATCCCCGTATTCAGTTGCCCCGATTATGCGCTCTCAAGAAGTTCATCTTGCACCATCGCCATCTCAGAGATCTCAGAGCAGCGATGCACACACTGAGGGTGTTGCAGAGAGCCATACTGGAGATATCGACACTGGTTTCTTACAGGTCTATGCGCCCGAGAATCAGTCTGACGCTGAGAAACAGGCATTAAAGGCGTGCTTGGACCACAAGTACAGTCTCTCGAATCCCCATGAACAGGATCTTCAAGAAAGCTTTGCCGAAACCTACTTCGAGTATTGCTATGCCTGGTGTCCGGTTTTGGATTCGGATACCCTTGCGAGCGATATTGCGCGATCTCCTCTCCTTGCAAACGCATTGGCAACTGCAGCAAGCAACGTGCAGCCTCCTCTGGTTCCTTACGAAGGACCAGCCGAGTACTACAAGAGGGCACGTACAATGTTTTACGAAGATGAAGAGACAGATGGTTTGACTACACTTATGGCCGTTTCTCTATTTTACTGGTGGGCTCCACGCCCCCCAAGCACAGTCCATCGACACTCATCATGGTGGTGGACGTCGGTCCTTATTCGTCATGCGCAGCAAATGAATCTCCATCGTGAGCCCACAGCTAGCCAAGTCGTTTCCGGCAACTTGAACCTGGGATTGCGAAGGAGGATCTGGTGGACCGCATTTGTAAGTGACTTGGGAACCGTTTTCTCATTCGGAATTTGCTAAGAATTATTTCAGGCTTGAGAGCGTTTGACTGCCTTGTGTCAGAGTAAGCCAGCGATCATCGATCTCGATGACTGTAACATTCAAGAACCCACGCTATCGGACTTTCCGAGTGATCTCAGGTCTCAAAGGAAAGGGGAAATATTCATTTACTGGGTTCGTCTCTGTGTTATCATCGGGAGAATTGTCAAAACACTCGCGTTCGACGCTGCCGACGGCCGAGATTTCACCTGACCATCACAGACAGGAGCTGGTGGACTGGGTCAATTCACTCCCTCCACACCTGCAACTACCCATCGGTTCAGCTCGCACTCAAAACTTTGACAAAGATGTGCATTAGTTACACCTTCCATATCTCACCACCATCATCGTTCTTCACCTCAAACGCTCTGCCAACACTCTGCCAGAAGCACTTCCTCCAGCTATTCTAGCAGCATCCTGTATCGCGAGAATACTGCGCGACATCTTATCTCGTGGCAATACCCGGTTTTTGATGGCCATTACTTGCTGGTACACTGGGACGGCGTTCATACCACTTCTTCAGGCCTGACAAATCCCGCACCTGGCGAAAGATGCCAATGACTGTCTAGATATCCTCGTGCGGGCAGCAGACCAGCTTCAGATCATGTGGGGTTCCGCCAACGTCATTCGGCAGGGTTTCTCACGACTAAGGGGTACCGAATCAGGTGCGGTCAGAGCCGCAAGGCCGGAGGCAGAGAACAATGAGCCCATCCATGATGGGACTGGGGTTTCCGTTCCTGGATCGCCAAATGCCGAGGCAGTGCCAATGGGCAGAGGAGGCCTGGATGACTTCGACTGGACTGCACTGTTCCCATTCGCTACACAACATACCGGGGGAATAGCTGACAGTCTCTTGACTGGTTGGGCACATGGCACAGCGACAAGAGGCTTTCCGTCTCCAGATAATGCGCTATTTCACGAGACCCTCGTGAATCAGTTTGAAGATTTGTTCGAGCCATTTGTGGATTATCGTTTGGACTTCATGGTCCCTGTATGAGGGCCGAGATGGCGAGTTGATACAGCCTTTGCATTTGTTGGCATAGAAACAAACAAAAGCCTAGGTAGTAATCAACTGATCCGCACTGGCAGTCTGCATTGGAGTACTTGGTCTGATTGATTAAACACTTTGTTACGGAAAATGCTACTAATCTAACAATTACATCTCGAATCTAGACTCCGCCGGTGCGTAAAACCTCGGCTTTCTCCACGTACCAAGACAAGTCGCTCTTTGAATCCATTTCCCACTCCGTGAATCCGTTGTCCATGAACCTGAAAGGGTTTGATGTACGGCAGCAAATATTGAAATCCTCGCCGCGGATGTTGGTGAGCATCCGGTTGAAGAGGTGGGCACTGCCACCGAACAGGGCTGTGACCCTGCCATCGACACGGTTCCTCTTGTACCAGCTCTTGCAGCCGCCGCTCCACACAAGTGTCTTGTGTACTTGGTCACTGTACTTGATAAAAGCATCAACAACCTCTTGTTTCGGCTCGACATATTTGATGTCCTCTGTAGCCATCTTCTTCACCCATTTCACAAAGTAGTCTCCTGTCCAGTTCAGAGACTCTACCAAGGACCCATGGCCGCCTAGGCAGTTGGGCCCCATCATCATGAAGTAGTTGGGATAGTCTGGAACAGCAACTGAGACGTAAGAGTCAGGATCCTCTGCCCATCTCGTGGCAAGATCAACATTCTCTTTTCCGACGATTGGGTATCTTGGACGATGAGAAACGTCGAATCCAGTAGCGCAGACAACTAAGGACTTGTCAGACATGCCGAAAAGCAAAAGACTCGAGCCATTTTAGATGGTTTTACTTACTAACGTCACACTCATAGAATTTGCCATCGGCTGTGTGAACACCGTTCTTCGAAACGCTGGTGATAGCACTGTTGGTGATGTTGCAGTTTGGTCGCAAGAATGACTCCAGATAGCCAGGACCAGGCGTAATGCGACGGCATCCCAACTCCCACTTTGGTATGAGCTTTTCACACAACTCCGGGTCATGGCCCAGCTTTTCTGCCATTTGTGCTGCTGCCAATCTCATGCCCTCCTTGTTGTTCTCGCCCTTCATGAAGATGTAGAAGGACTTGTTGGTGCGCGAAATGATTACCTTGCGATGTTCGAGGTGATACTCAGGGTCATGGAATCTTTTTCTCTCCTCGTCGGTATATCGTGGGTTAGGATCCGGGTCGTCCCTTTCAAGGTGCTTGGATGGAGGCGCGCGATAGTATACCCAAGCCGGTCCGCGGATGAAGTTCATCACGTCGATTCCAGGTAGCTTGGCCATCTGAGGCACGATCTGGATACCGGAAGAGCCAGCCGTTTCCGATCACAGCAATTCTCTTGTTAGAGTAGTCAAAGTCGTGATCCCAGCGAGCTGAGTGAGTGATGTGGCCCTCGAAATCTCGTAGACCAGGGACGTCAGGCCAGGATTCGTGAACCAGTACACCTTGTGCAGAGATCAAGACGTGACACAACTCGTCACGCTGTTCTCCCTGGTGTTCTACCGTGACTTTTCACTGGCCAAGCTCTTCCTGCCATACAGCGCCAACAACTTTGGTGTTCAACTGAAGATCGCGATCAAGATTCCACTTTCTGACTGTGTCTTTCATGTATTTGAGAATCTCAGCTCCCCTCGCATAGAAACAACTCCAGTCTGGGTTGGGATCAAACGGAAATGCCTAGAGATGTGATGAGCAGGCTTGATTGAGCGAGGTGGTTGCCATGTTCTTTCCCTCAGCCCTTCTTTGGTGGGCCGTTCCCAGTGGGATACAGGCTAATTATTACATAGTAGCGGGGCATCGAGATTATCTTGGGTCGCCTTTAAAATTTCAATTGTCGTGAGCCGGACCTCACACAAATCATTGACCGGTGCGAATACTAACTGGTTGCTGATGGAAATCACGTAGAATACAGAAACTGAACCCGTACAAGCGTCTTGTGTCTGAAAGTGTCGGGCTGGCTTTCGACACTTCTCCTCACTGTGTCCTCGAGCTTTCTTCCAGGACGCGTATTTCACCTACTTACTGACTTCAATGTTGTGAGGCCTGAGTTATTAGGTAAGTTACGATCATTCGCCCCTGTCGAATGTGCCAATCAGGCTTCCCAAGTCTATCGATGGGGCCATTGAATATAAAAGAGCCGGTTCGGTGCTGCCGAGGAGACATAAAAAATACGCCGGCGGTGCCGGATTGCCGGCCCACCTTGGCGCCGCGTCAAGGTGCCGTTCGGGCCGGCCCCACCGAGGCACCAGCCACGCGTCGGCGGCGAGCCAAGTTGGACGATGAAGTCACCGTGGAGCTAGGCGTAGCACCAAGGTGACCAGACGGCACTTCTGCCGTTCGCTGGCTTGGGACATGACTTACTGTCTACGACTTTGGAGCTACGGTAATGGGGAAAACCTTGCTCTTCGAGCTACCAAACAACGACTTTTCTTGGAATGCGCCACAACGAGCTCCCCTGCTGACGTGTTTCCACCACCATGGCCAGGCCATAGCGCTTTAAGCCATGTTCATGACGTGACACTATTTGATATGGCCAGGAAATAGGCTAAGCCAAGGATTTCGTGTGCCCAGAAGACGTAGTAGAATGATGATATAAGGTTGTGCAGGCGGCTCGTTCCTAGCATCGTGATAGAATACTTAGTACACTCAACCTAAAATCCTTCTCTGCGCAGAAAATCACCCGATACAGAGAGTCGGTCCTCAGCCAAATTAGCCACCAACTCCATTGATAGGGTTCAACACAACGCAACAATCCTACCTACTCTTCATCGCGTATCTAAGTACCTGCCTGAACAATGGTTAGTACACCTCAAAGTCCAGCTCATGATAGCAATATCTAAGATAATGAACCAGGCCGGACGCGGAAGACGCCTTGCGACTGGCGCAATCATCGGCATTGCTATTGCCGGCTTCATCTTTATTGCCTTCTGGGTTCTATGCTGCTACTGCTGTTGCTTCCGAAACAAGCGTAAGCAGCGCGGTCGTCAGCCGCATCCAGTGGGTGGCGGGGGTGGGGGCATGTTTTCGCGCTTCGGTCGCCAGCGCCGCGGCGGCCCGGTCATGATGGAGTCTGGTTACGGACACGGGCCGGGTCACGGACATGGTCATCACGGACACCACGGCCTAACGAGACCACCCCCGACACATGGATACAGATAAATGGCAGTCCGCTGCTGATGGACGTCAGACAACATGAAGCATGTTTACTGGAAACGAGAATAGGCGGGTCAATTATCACGAGGCAGGTGTGGCGTTAGGAATATGAGTGTGTACAAGTATACCCAATGTGCGAAGGTTGGACAATTGCTTGTTTGTTTTTGATAAAGCGCTGGATCTATAGTCAGACCAGTGCCTCGAATGTTAAATTAAGTACGATGTGTGCTTGGGTATTATGGGAGTGTTTGTGTGTGAGTGTGAGAGTGAGATCTATTGATGAATCAAATGTGCTCGCTTCCCTGCTCCTCGCGCTTCTGCTCGACCGCCTCAACCCTGCGCTCGAGGTCGTGGGACTCAAAAGTCTTCATATCCAAGGTCGGGATGAAGAGAGGAGCCTCGGTGAAGAGATATCTCATCTCTTCCAGAGGACGCTTGGCAGTCTCGGGGAGGAATGCCCAGAAGAAGAGGGCGTTGGTAAAGTTGCATGCCTGAAAAAGCGCATGTTAGTCAACTGTCGTTTGGTGAACTTGGTAATAGCTTTTCTAGTGACTTACAATGAAGAGGATGTACCAGCGCCAGCCAATACCGTGCTTGTCATCGAGAGCCACAGAGGTGGTCTGGCCGATGAGGGTGTTGAAGGCGTACGAGGTCATGGTAGCGATGGAGACACCCTTGGAACGGGTCTTCATGTCGAAGATCTCGGCCGGGATAATCCACGATAGAGGACCACAGGTCGCGCTGAAGCTGAAGTTGTAGAGCCATGTCATGGCAATGAAGCCCCAGGCGGTGGCTCCGCTGGCATGAGGAGAGCCAGGAGGGAACTTGGCCAGAAGGATGGTGGCAATGATGAAGGTCACGCAGTTACCGAGGTTACCGAAGATCAAAGGCCAGCGACGACCAGTCTTGTCGATGAGCATCATGCAGGAGAACTGAGCGACGAGGGCAATGACGGAGGAGATGGCCTGGTAGCGGAGGGTTTCGTCGCCGGCGATGCCAATCTTCTCGTAGATGGCAACGGAGTAGTACTGAATGGCACTGACACCGGTCATCTGAATGGAGGCCTGGAGAGTGCAAGCGAGGAAGAGACGACGGAAGCAAGACTTGTCGGTGAAGAGCTCCTTGTAAGACTTTGCGGAACCCTCGTGCTCAGCGGTGATGGAGTCCTGGATCTGGTCGAACTCGGCGCGGACCCAGGCATCGTTGACGTCGCCGTGGGCATGGAGCTTGGCCAAGGTCGCGAGACCTTCGTCGAGGCGGCCGTGATCGATGAGCCAACGAGGAGACTCGGGGAAGAAGAGAATAAGCAGAGCCAGAATACCACCGGGAATGCACTGGATACCCAGACTGACACGCCATTGGTTGTTGTCGTTCTCGGCGAATCCAATGTACGTTCCGTATGAGATCCAAGCAGCAGCCAGAGCACCAACACCGAGCATGAATTGTTGCAGAGCAGTGACTCGTCCACGAATGCTGGGATGGCAGAGTTCGGCCTGGTACATGGGAATAATCATCGTCAACATACCGACACTGTGAAGAATTCAGTCAGCATTATCCTTATGAGATTTGCAAAGTTGGGTTGAGAAATTGACGTACCCGATACCAGCGAGAGCACGGCCAGCGTAGAGGAAGGCGAGAGACTGAGCAGCGGCCTGGAGAGCACCGCCGAGAACGAAGATGGCGGCACCGATGAGAATGGTCTTCTTACGGCCGAGCTTGTCACCGGTGGGACCTGCAACACCGGCACCGATGAAGCCACCTCCAGTGAAGACGGAGACGACAGCGCCGCTGAGAAAGAATTAGTCATGATACTCTGCGCTCACGTAGGTTGACGGCAGGTTCTAGTGGGGGGCAATTCTCATCAAAGGGGCTGGGGGTTGGCTTACATCTCATTAGGGTCTTCGCCGAACTTGGTCTTGAAAGAGGCCGAAGCAATGGCAGAGGCAATGACACCCAAATCATAACCGTAGTTGAAGGAACCGAGTGAGGCGAAGACGCTCACAAGGAACTGGTACCACTTGGGAGGGAGCGCCATGATGGGCTAGATATTGGGGGGTGGTGGTGAAGGACTCTCGAGCAGGTGTCGTATTGTCGTCGCGGGCTCGTCAGGAAGAAGGCAACTAACTTCCAAGCCTCGGATGGGGGGAACTGATGATTCGAGGGTTCAGGGTCAAACCGACTCGTCGAGCTGCAATGGAACGGTCTCGCGTGTTGCATCAGCACGAAGGGATCGTCGCGTCTTTATAGAATGTTTGAGCGACCCCATGTTTCCCCGTATCCACTTTGACCCGAAGGTCGCATCGGTTGGGAGCGTGGGAGCATCGAAAAGTTCAAGGCTCAAGCAGGTCGGTCTCTCGTGCTCCCCCAGAGCCGTGGGCAACTTTGGATCCAACAGGCTAGCGCAAGCGAAACGTCAAGTAATGTTGCCGTGGTGCGTTCGGTTGGTGGTAAAGTTACTGGGGGATATGCGAGAGTGGGGAGGCATTCGAATCCCTGGCTTGCCATTTCCGGGGCCACTCAGGCCGTTGAAAGACGGCATCGGTGACGGTTGCCCCGGCCCCAGACTTACCCCCTTGCCCCAGGTTACGCCGGGGTGCGGAGATGGTGCGCTAGTTTGCTAGTTGTTGGCGCAAGCTGGTGGTGTTTTGTTTGGTGTGTGTCAGGAACTGCGCGTGTCAAAGACGACTGGAGGTATCGGTACTGGCAGACAGAGGCAACAGAGTTAAGGTCGGCTTGGAGAAGCGCCCGCTAGGTAAGGTTCACGGCCAGGACCTTCTCCAATCCCCATAATTTTGAGCAACGTGGGCACGCGGGGAAAGTTGCTAGGATTGGGGGTTCAAGGCGGAGTTTGTGGATGGTGTGTGGAAGTTGTATGGGTGTTCGGCTCACCAACACCGACGAGCGACACGGCAATGACTGGAGACGCAAAGGGCGCGCGCCACGCCAGTCCATGATCAACAGATTGTTGGCTGCTGCCTTTTGGCGATCCGAATTGCTGGAACTGGCGGCGAGGGATGAAGACCCATGTTGACAAGAATCAGTCACATGGCAACTCGGACACTATTGTCTGACCTTGGGTGGCTTTGTCCAGAGCGCAAGTGAGGCCTCTGATCTCTCCTTTCAACCGCGTACAGAAGAATGATTCGTAAAGATCTTTCGGCCGACTCGTTTCCCGCAGAAATATCGGAGAGCGGGGGCACTCGCGTGTTAGCTAGTGCAAAGCTGCGCTTAGATGTCAATTGCGCTTCATTTCCGCCCTAGCATGACTTTCTAGTGCTTCAGTTCCTACTCTATTTCTCTAGCATGGGTCTTCATATTGATCTTTTTCTTTGATTCCGTGATGACCCGCGCTGCTTCAATATTGTTGCCGGGCAAGTTTTCTATATACTCCGTACGTACTATCGGGCTAGAGGTACGTACTTTTCGGATGCAAACAGAGTTGATGGATACGTACCGGCTTTACCTCATCTGATTGGGTAAAATAGCTTAAACCCCATTTATTCCATCCAATGTCGTCACTGGCACGAGATTGGAGGAGAATCAAGCTTTAGCGTTAGGACTATGCGCTCCAATGAGAGCCGTACCCGGAGCAGAGCGACCCCACATCGGCCGGTGATTGCCCCGCTATTTCCCTTCCTTCCTCCTCACCACCTCACCTCCAGGTCAGGTACGTACCTCACCTCGATCACTTCACCTCGGGACTTGGCACAAAATGGCTGGAAAATGTTCCGCATTCTCTCGGTCCTCTCCGTAGACTCACTCGGGTCACTCCAGTTTCCAGGTCATTCCTATGAGTCTTCTCTTTGTTGCTCATGGCTCGTCCTTCTTCGGGCCCGTCTCGACCGTCGTCGCGATTTGAAGCTCGGGCTGCTTTTCCGTCCTTCGGCAGCGGGCCCAACCAGCACTCATTTACTCCTCGTTGTTCTCCGGCTTCGCTTCAGCCTTCATCTACATGTCAACCACTTGTCCTTGCAAACTTGCGGATATCGGGGACGACTGGTTTTCGCATCTGATAACCTTGGCATCACTCAATACGCGCCTCCATCACCATACCCGCCCCCCTAGTTGTTGACCTGCTACCTGCGCGCCAAGTTATTAGTCAAGCCTGAAATGGGTTCTGGCCTGACAACAGCGACCAATATGGTCTCCATCTTCACGCCTCGGCTATGATCCGTACTGATCCCTACTGTGGGTATTGGTACTCAAGTGAAGGTCTGTGTCAAAAGAGACAACAGAGGCATCTGCATGAAAGCCCCCTCACTCCCACCTCTAATTCTCTCCATTGACGGCGTCTTCATACGTCGTACATGCATGTGTAGATATCGTATGCTTCCCAGAGAACCAACCACATACACATGATACCGGCATCTGCAACATGCAGTTCCAAACAACAAAAGGGCCGGCTCACAGTTCCCCATTCATCAGAATCTCCAACTATTTCCCCATTATCCCCAAGAGATCCTGTTCTAACCCCACCATCCCATCCTAAGCTAGTATCCCGTCCCATCCCACTCCATCCCTCAGCAGACCATTGCATAGTCAGTCATGCGGGTTGCCCAATCCTGTGCCACTCGGAGCCGACTACCCCACTCCGATACCCCGGCACCCGCATTATCGTCGACTTTCTCCGCATGGTATCCTCTATGATTCGTGCGCCTGTTGCACCACCTGCCTTTGACCTCTCGCTGTTGGAGTCGAGACTCGAGAGCCGCACTTTCTCTCCGCTTTCAAACATGTTGATAAGTGGTCAATATCGATGAGCGCCTTGGGTGTCAGTGACCAGGTCGAATCGGGGGCCACCCCTCCTCACATAGCCCCAGTCCGACTTCTTGGCCTGGGTATCCCATCTCTGTGAAAGCGACTGTTACGGCAACTAATGCCAAAAACCGAGTAGTTACGCCCCTGGTCTGCGATCCCTCCTCTGCCGACCCAATATCCTCCTCCATTGCTGTTCTGCCACTCTTCAGCCCGTCTCCGTTGTTTCACCGCTTGCCCCCGCCCCTGACGAGTTCAAATTCCGGCCTCGATCCCGTGCATTTGCGGCCACGGTACACACGTCCTGTCCGTTTTCCACCACTCATCGACTAGCTGTTCTTTTTGCATAAAATTACCAGCTACCGGTTGATCGGACCACCACCGCCGCTCTCACGCTCGGACAGTAAGAGAGTGCTCTCACCACACACCACGCAACCAGATCCAGCCATGGCGACCTTCACCAAGATCGCAGAGGATGCTCGCCCCAGCATTACGCTGAACCCCTCCCATGTCGTCTCCAAAATCGATGACAACGTCTATGGTGGCTTCACAGAGTGAGCTCCTCCTGCTGCGCCGCCGCCTGCCTCTCACCCGAGAGCTTCTCACGTAAACATGCAAACTTACTAACAAGCAGTCCCACAGGCACATGGGAAGATGTATCTACGGTGGCATATACGACCCCGGCAACCCTCTCTCTGATGAAAACGGTTTTCGCAAGGACGTTATTGAGGCCTTCAAGGAGCTGAACTGTCCCGTTGTGCGGTACCCCGGTGGTAACTTTGTTGCTACCTACCACTGGATTGACGGCGTCGGTCCCAAGGAAAACCGTCCCAAGAGGTATGGAGAAACTCCCATTCTGAATTTCAGGTCACCAGCACGGGAATCGAGACGCCTCGACGCAGAATCCTTCGGGGATCTGGACCCCTGCGTAAGCGGCCCGCGTTTGGAGTGCAGCGGGTGGCTAACGTGCATCCACTGTTTAGGCCTGAGCTGGCTTGGATCGGCGTCGAGAGCAATGAATTCGGAACAGACGAGTTCATGAAGTGGTGTGAGGTTGTTGGCGCTGAGCCTTACCTGGCCCTCAACTTTGGCACTGGCACACTTGATGAGGGTATGTCAATCTCCCAGTGCCATTGCACCAGCCGGGACCGATTCCTGCAAACTTCTGGACGATGAGTATGGTTGACTAATACTCACATGTTCAGCTCTCGCGTGGGTTGAGTACTGCAATTCTGACAAGGACACCTACTATGCCAACCTCCGCCGCAAGAATGGACGCGAGAAGCCTTACAACGTAAGTTGGCCCCATTCGACAACTTCCAAAGTGACCGCATAGGTGCATTCCGCTCACCTCTCATCAGGTCAAATACTGGGCCCTGGGCAACGAGTGTTGGGGCCCCTGGCAGGTCATGCAAATGACCATGGAGGACTATGCCAAGCAGGCTTACCAGTGGGCCAAGGCACTCAAGCTTCTTGACCCGTCTTTGGAGCTGATCCTCTGCGGTGAGACCGGCTTCAGCAGCTGGGACACATATGTCATCAAGGAGTGCATAACATGGAGTTTGCACGGTCTGGGCGGTAGCACCACTGCGTCCTTGATCGACATGCACAGCATTCATCTTTACACTGCGTCAGAAGACCATCTGAAGAACGCAACAGGTGAGCTCTCTCCGCTTTTCTACTTTTTGATGTAGTTATATGCCGATCATAGGATTGACAACTGACGTTACTTTTCCCCTTGCACAGCACCCAGAGCCGCCGAGCGCGCCATTGAAATCACTGGCAGCCTTATCGACCTGGCCCGCATTGAGAACAAGGTGCCTCCCACGTGCAAGAGGCAGAAGATTTGCTTCGATGAGTGGAATGTCTGGGACCCCGTCAGAGCACCCGGTGAGGAGGGTGCCGAGGAGGCGTAAGTCAACGCTCTCATGTCGACCTCTATGATCCGTGCAAGCGATACTGACAATCAGCCGCAGCTACACTCTTTCCGACGCTCTCGCTGTCGGTGTTTGGCTCAATGTGTTTGTCCGTCAGGCAAAGTACGTTGGCATGGCCAACATTGCTCAATCTGTCAACGTCATCTCCCCCTTGATGACCACGAAAGAAGGCATCACCAAGCAAACCACTTGGTGGCCTCTGTTGCTGTTCAGCAAGTACATGAGAGGCTCTACCATCGCCACTCACGTTCGCGCTCCCGAGTACGAGGGTGCTACCGAGCCTGTCTGGATCCGCGGCGCCATCGAGACCCCTTACCTCGATGTCAGTGCCACCATCGACGACAATGGCTTTGTCAACTTGGCTGTCGTCAACGTCCACGAGACCAAGGGATTCTCCGTCGACCTTGAGGGTGTCAAGGAGGGTGCCGATGTCCAGGTTTACACCGTCACCGGCGAGAACGTCAAGGTCGTCAACACCGGTGATAAGAACCCCGTCGGCATCGCTGAGAGCAAGTGGGATGGCAAGGGCCCGTATGAATTTGCGAAGGCCTCGGTCACCCTGTTGAGATGGAAGCACTAGAAGGACTGCCTCGAATAGGACGGCGAATGGGTAAAGGGGACATGGCTTCCTACGTGACACCATCTGGGAACTTGTATATGATGAGATATGAACGTCATCGATGCAGAGTCGGGCCCGCAAGGGAGATGGGCTGGCAGGTCCAGCATCACGAGGCATGCATACTTCTGCACGCATATCCGTACAAAAACCAAATAGACAGTTACGAATTGACGCAAAGATCATTGACTTAATTAAGGCAGCGAAATATGCAAAGCCTGGCCTGGAATGGTGGTATTGTATTCTCTGCTCATAGTAACTGCCGTCTAAGCGGGTGTGCTTCCGTATTCAAGACGAACTCATCAAGATTGACAAGACTAGGGGGTGAGAAGATGAGATAGAAATACTTTAGCGTTTCTGCCATCCAAAAGCTCTACAGTGTTGTTAGTTCGCATCCCTTGTCCTTGGCTCCTAGTAGATGCTGTGACTTACTTCCATTGAATCAAGCTTCTTTGTTTCCCCCTTGACAGTGACGTCCTCGATGGCTGAGTTCGCAATTTCAGTCTCCGTCGCATTTACAATAGCCTGGAACATCGTCCATGCTATTTCCTGGTACTCTGGGTTTCCAGTCATCCTGTACATGAGGAAAATGCTTTCAATTGCTTCCGGACGCAGGATGTAGCGGGGGTCACGCGCATGGGAGAACCCCTTTTTCAAGCCTGATGCGCCTTCGCGCTTCCATCGTTCCTCATCCCACTCACAGCCGTCCAGCGTCTCGCAAGGGACCATGCCAAAGATCTCTGGCATGAGACCTGTCGGGAACGAGCTATATGCCCATCCACAGCCGCGGGCCAGCCTTTCGGCGAGACCCATGTGCTCTTTGATGCCGAACAGCTTGCCGCCAAGCCCAAACATCCCACCTACAAAGCATGACAAGTGCTGGCTCTCGGGGTTGCGCCGCACATTGCCTTCGGCAAACGCTGTCCCAGAGAACAGGACATCTTTGTTGTCCGGAAGCATGGGACGGAACAGGAGGTACTGCTCAACGACGTGCATTGCATGGCGATACATCTTTTCGTAGGCCGGGTCCGTCCCTCCGAGCAAGGCATACATCTTAGGCAAGTACTCGTACAGAGAGTCGGCGAGTGCTCCCAAAGTGAACTCGTTGTGTTGCAAAACACTTTCATCCCGGAAGTTGATGAGCGCCGGCCACATGCCAGGAAGTTGAGTTTCTCGCTGCGTACTCTCGAGGAACAGCTTGACTCTCTCAATTGCGTCGAAATACTTGTGGTCCCCAGTAACTTGTGAGAGTCTTGTGAATTCGAGGGATAGCGAGCATGGCGATGCCGACGGGTCTGACGTACCAGCCACAAGTTTTCCCTCTTTAGCAAGCTCAAAGTCTAGCCAGAAAGGAGGCATCCTATTCGGTGTATCAAAGGCGGCATAAAGCATGTCGCCGAGCTCAATGACTTTGAGTAACAGTACGGGTTCCCCGCTAAGGTCGTACGCGCTCAACAGTCCTCCGAGGTGACGGATAGTAGTCTCAAAGACATTGACAGCCGTCTCCTTTGTATCATCCCAATCCATGGCTCCAATGACGGACAAGGCGGCGTCAAAGTCGTCGCGCAAGTCCATTATCCACAACGAGTCGAGCGCATCGACCAGAGTAGCCGCATAACCGCCAAACGTATCTTTCCCTTTGGCAGTGACTGGCGTCAACTCGTCAAAGCCCCACGCGTATTCCTTGTAACTATTCCAGCTCTTGACAAAGACTTCTTGGACCGCCTTTCGTCGCGACTCGGATTTCGCATCGTTCTTGCGCAGTCGTTTCGCGCCAAAATTGAATTGGACTCGCGGGAGGGTCTTTGGCCGTTGTGTAGGCAGATGGTGCATTCTTGACGGGGATACTGGGTACTTGTGTCGATGGTTGGCCCAGTCAAAGCTGCTCTTGACGAGGCGGATGTTGACATGTTCGCGGACGACGGGAGGCGGTTCTCTGCTGGAACGAAGGCTGTGGAAGGCAAAGAGACCGAACAAGATGACGGCGATGATTATGACACGCCGTTGTCGTCGATTGGCCATGTTGTCATGTCGAAGGGGGAGTTGTCGACTATTCGCAGAGTTGTTGAGGATGCTCCAAGGGAGCTTTGACTGGAGAGTTCGCGACGGGAAGCCATGGTGCAGGGCCACAACTGTTCGATGCCAGCTTTAGACAAGTCATATAACCGAGGGGCATTGTGTCTCAGGAGCCGCCACGTAGCGCGTTGAGCCGGGTCCCTTGAGACGAAAGTGACCGTGGCTCTCAAGGTTTAAGCGTTCTTTGGGCGCGGAATGCAACGGGCAATGCGAGCCATCAAGAAAGAAATGGGGATTGGATCAGGGGTAAGGTACCGGCAAGGTGGGGTTCGGGACCGGGACTCTCTCCTTGTTTGGCGCTGGACCTCTTCCGGACTTGATTGTCCCGTCATGATTCTCGGCGGTGCCAATAGCTTGAAGTTGCCAGGTTCTGACACTTTGGTATCGGCATGCAGGTTCTCGAGCCCTTTTCCATGTACAATCACGTTAATGACATCAGGACGAGAGCCTTTGATAGCTCCTGTTCTCTAACAAGTGTGCCTGCCTTGATGCAAGTAAGTTTGCGAGGCCATGATCTTGCTGAACGACACAGAAAGACTCGCCAGCAATATATTTGAAAGACTCGCCTGGCGGTTATCAAAATTGTGTAATCTTCAAGAAACACTCGGTTAGTATGCAAAGTAGATAGTACGGCAGCTATTAGCCGCCATCCACATCAAGTTCCATTTCCGTGGCTGCGTGGCTGCTAAAGTATCGTACTTTAGGTGTTTAGGTGACAATCTTCTAGGGGGGGATCCCAAACGTGTCGGAGGTGGCGCAATCCGAGCCACTGGCCCCAGAATGCTGGAACGGAGCGAGATCGTTACTGGTTGATGGCTTTGCTTTGCTAGCAAAACGCACATTTTCCCACGAATTTTAACGTTCATCAACATTCGTCAGCGAGCCTACGGTAAAGTCGCCGGTTTGGATGTTGATGGCCGTTCTAGTCATCGCTAACGTCGGAGATGACTCCGTTAACAGATCGATTGCCAATGATTATCGTCATCCCTCCGGTTTCCGACTCTAGCCGGCGTGCTGGGGTGCTGGGTGACTCGGCGCAGAAAGCCTGACAAACTCCAACCAAGAGCTCAAGCTAGGGAAGTTTACACAGCGAGGATATACTCATCAATTAAACAAGCGGTTAGACTTCGAGCTCGCCTGTTTCTCAAGCGCAAAGCAGTCGAGAGCAGGATTGCATAGCCATCAACTCTTGTCCTAGATCATCAAAAACATTCCGAGGGACGTGCCGAGCGCCTGGAGTCCCGGACGTGCGTTATTAGACTTTTTCCCAAAAAAAAAAAAGACGCAAAGAAAGGTCAGCAAAGCTTCTGGTCCCTCGGATGACAGCCCGAGGCACTCGAGAGGTCCTTGAGCTTAAGCTAGAGCCCAGGTACAACTACCTTCGCTCTTGTTGCCCGCGGGGAAAACACTTCTGGTGACAACCAAGTCGGCTTGATCGAGTTCGATTCGTCGCTACCCCCAAAGTATCGGTACTTGAACAAGGGCAGGAACAACACTAGAGATTTAGCTGCCTGCCAAGGTCCAGAAAGAGTCATTGAAGGCCCTGTCTGCAGCAGACGATGAGCAATGTGAAATATTTGACAGCCGTCCATGCTCTTATTTTGGTGTCTTATCCTCTCATGATGAGGGGTCCCATTTTCATTGCACATAAATCATACCTTAGTCTTTGGTCCGGTGTTGCTGAGATTTCTCTTTCTCGTGTAGTACCGGTAGGTACGCAACGACACTACAGTGGTTCATCAACCAAACGGAGATCGTCCGCCGTTCCTCGTGGGTTTACGCATATCCAATCGCCACCCTCCTGTACCGCCCAGTCGGGTCGAGGTAGGACAGGATCGAACAGCGGCGCATCTGCAACTCCAGCTTGCCCGCCACGACTCTTTTTCCCGCTCTGCAAATCGCGCTTTTTGCTTTCACAGCTTGTGCAATCGATTCCACCTCAGTTGACTTTCTCGTTACGAAATCTTTTCCCAGGATCAGCGACCACATCATCATGAAGGATATTGAGGCATCGCAGCCGCCATCCGTGGATCGACAACTCCACGAACAAGGGAAGAGCTATCAGACAGTCACGACAAAGTCCACATATGGACATAGCAAGAGTGATGGCCTACTTCACAAACTTTTACGTCTGGGCCGAGTTGAAGAACAAGGCATTGAGCCGATTCCGCTGGGAGAGCGGACATCAACTCGACACTTCAACGCCTTCACTGTTTGGTGCTCTATGAATGCCAACATTCTTCCGTGAGTCACCATTGATTCATTTGTGAGGGCGAATGTTGCCTGCTAACAGCACTTGAGGATTACGTTCGGTATGCTAGGTCCCTCGCTCTTTGGCCTCAATCTCCGCGACTCTTCCCTCGTCATTCTCTTCTTCACGCTACTCTCAACATTAGCCCCGGCTTTTCTCGCAACGCTGGGTCCCAAAACGGGTATGCGCTCCATGATACAAGCGCGATACAGCTTTGGGTAAGCCATCTCGCCAGCCAAGGTCACTACTTATTGCTGACTTCCTTCCTTAGGCGCTACCTTGTATCGGTGCCAGTCGTCCTCAACCTGGCTACCTTGACTGGATTCTGTGTCATCATCTGCGTCGTTGGTGGCCAATGTCTGTCGGCCGTCACCAACGGTGCTCTCAGTCCCGATCTAGGCATCGTACTCATTGCACTCCTATCCTTATTCATCTCATTCTGCGGGTTCAAGGTATTACACTTCTACGAAACATACGCTTTTATCCCAGCAGTAATCGCCATAGTAATCGCCACTGGATGCGGAGGTTCGAGACTGGCTGAACAGGCCGAGATGGCCCCGGCAACCGCATCTGCCATTCTGAGCTTCGGCATGATCGTTGCATCATACATGATCCCTTGGGCCTGTATTGCTTCGGACTTGACGACCTACTTTGACCCAAAGGTCCGCGGTGCATCGTGAGTTCTTCCCATCTCTGCAATATGTCTCTGATATCTAACCAGCCGCTGCCAATCCAAGGTACCGCATCTTTACTTACAGCTTCCTCGGCTTGATCCTTCCTACTGTCCCTCTGATGACTCTGGGTAGTGCTATCGGCGGTGCCATCACTAACGTGCCTGAGTGGCAAGAAGGGTACGACAAGACTCTAGTCGGTGGCGTGTTAGCTGCCATGCTGTCGCCTGCTGGTGGCTTTGGAAAGTTCGTCGTCGTCATTTTGGCCTTCACACTGCTCGGCAACGTTTCTGGCACTCTTTATGCCATCACATTGAACTTCCAGACGCTAGTACCTTGGCTCGTTCTGGTTCCTCGTTACATCTTTTCGGTCATCGTCACAGCTATCATGATTCCAGTCGCTATCAAGGCAGCTGATGACTTCTTTCTCAACTTGGAGAACTTCGTGGCTTTGATCGGATACTGGTCTGCCTCTTTTGTCGGCATTGTTTTGGTGGAACACTTTCTATTCCGAAAGGGAGACGCAAATTTATACGACCATCATGTCTGGAACATCTCTTCCGGTCTTCCCAGTGGTGCGGCCGCACTTGGGGCCGGCATCCTAGGCTTCGGTCTCGTCATCCCTTGTATGGCTCAAGCCTGGTGGACTGGACCACTTGCGGAAACTACGGGCGATATAGGGTTCGAAATTGCCTTCATTTTGAGCGCCCTTTTCTACGTTCCTTTGAGGTATCTGGAGCTGAAGATTCTTCATCGATAGGCTCGTCGCGGCTATTATTGCTCCAAATGCTGTCTAATCAATTTCAATGATGAGAACCATAAGGTATTTTAGAAGACAATAGAGAAGAGTGCTTACATTGGTCAAGCAATCGCTGATTTTTGGGGGATCTTGTATTCGGTTTTCTCGTTGATCAGCGCCTTGCGACTAAACAACCTGGTTCTTAACCCTTTCATTAGCGCTCATCTAAGTGACAACATTAAGAGGACAAAATGAGTTGCAACTTCTCACCAATGGCAGTCTACATCTCGGAACTGCGTCTAGTTCCGGGGAAAATTCGATTCAACCTGTGTAGTCGTAAAGGTCGAATTAGCCTCTGGTGCTTAAAACCAATGGGAATAATTGATAACAGGGGTTCGAAATTTCGCCAATTCTCAGATAGGTTCTACCTAGGGACTGGGTATACATTCGCAGTAGAGTTTTCATACATATTTGTAAACCTCTCCAAGAACAGATTTCCTTTGAGAAGCAGGTTTGACATGGGTCTGAATTTGACAGCTGGAGGCCCAGGTTTAAACTTCCACCACACAGTTCGGACCAGGCGTCATACGATTCGTCATACGACTCATTCTCGAACAACATGAAACAGGGGGACTAGGCCCAACTCCCCGTGAATAGCAGCAAATGTGGAAGCCAAGCCCAGTGAGGAAATCTTAGTAGATGACTTATTGAACGCTCAGCAGGTCGGCTCACGCGGCAGCTGGTCTGCGCAACATTCAGATCGGCCGGGGTTACCCGCGTGTTTTGCGCCTGACGTTTACAGCCCTTTAACGCGTTCACCTATTGAGCTTCTCGGTCATGCCGGCCTTATACCAGGCCGCCGTACTACGAGGTACTTGCTGGCTCCCGTCATATAATAACTCTCCGATGAATCTATCTGAAGCAATCGACAGCCCATTTAGCGGGGCCATGTCAGGCACCGCAGCGCCACCAACTATGACAGTCGTTTACTCTCAACACTGCCGTAGTATGACTGCGGCAAGTGGGCAGTGTACAAATGGCGAAACGATTACGTCCGAACCCGAGAGAAGGGCTATGATCAGATCCCACGGCGCTGCTTCCCCGCTGCATATCATCCAGAAACTACCCCAGGCTCCTGGACTGGCTTCTGGCAGCAGTCGTCTTCGTTCGTTCATTGCCTTCCGACAACGCTCCCTAAGCTATCCACCGGAGCTTCTCATGATACCAAGGCGTGGAACCTAGGCCCAATGGCTTCCACCCAAGAGGACCATGCGGTAGCGGGATTGGACGAGCCACGGTACCCAGAGCCAGTGGCATCGGCGGAGAGACGATCCAGGGTCAGCAGTGAATCTTCTCGACACTCCAGGACATCAGGTTTCTCATGGTTTCGGCTCAGCGCGGACGGCCGTCCTTGGGGGCCGGTTGATGAGCTCAACCTCTACATGGGCACCGCTTTCAGCAGCATTCCCGACGACAATGAGTCGACTCGATCGCCTTACTTTTTCCGCTCGGCTAGTGACCGTTCAACCGTCTCAGAGAAGGATTCTTCATACGTGGTCGACTGGGAGAAACCGCGGGATGTCGAAGATCCGATGCATTGGACGATGAGGTCAAGATGGGTGCAGATTCTGCTTGTGAGTATTTCGACGCTACAGGCGTGAGTAGCTTAGTCTAGGAGTGGCTTATTCTGTTCATTGCGCAATACTGATGTGGTTCTTCGTGTAGGGCAGTTGTCTCATCCGCTCCCGCTCCCGCCGTACCGAGCATTCTTAAGGAGTTTAACGCCCCTGAGGGAGTTCTTACTTCTCTTGTTGTGTCTATCTTCAACCTCGGCTTCGTCTTTGGTCCAGTGTAAGTATTCTCGATTCTTCTCGATACCTTATCAAGAACTATACTCTCAGAAGCGACGGCTTCAGTCACTCAGCGCCCAGTTGCTGATCGAAGACAGTCTGGCTGCACCAATGTCTGAATTGTACGGACGATACCCAGCGTATACGATCTCGAATCTTATTTTCCTTGCCTGTAACGCAGCTTGTGCTGTCTCGCACAGCCTTGGCGTCTTGCTCTTCTTTCGCTTCCTCAGCGGATGTGCCGGTGCCGCTCCACTGTCCATCGGAGGCGGTACGATCGCCGATGTTGCACCTCCGGCTTTGCGGGGCCGGGCCGTGGCCGTCTACTCCATTGCCCCACTGCTAGGTCCCGTACTTGGTCCGGCAGCGGGCGGTTTTTTAGCCGAATACTTGGGTTGGCGATGGATATTCTGGACGTTGTGTATCATGGTGTGTGACCCACCTCCTTTGGTCAAAGACTGCTGTGGCGAGACATAAGTGATGTCGCTAACCCCAGATGTTCAATCTCACAGGCAGGGGCCCTTGGTGTGGTCATGATACTGCTTCTCAGAGAGACCTCAGCGAAGACACTGCTCGAGAAACGTAGTAGAAAGATAAGAAAAATCACTGGAGACTCGCGTTATGTCTCAGCTTTAGACGACGGCATCTCGCCAGGGGAGGCTTTCTCCCGAGCTATCAAGAGGCCTCTACGGCTTTTGATTCTACATCCAGTAGTTCTAGCTCTTTCCTTTTATTTTGCCGTTGTCTATGGTTACATGGTATGTTTCTGCCAGCTTGCTACTACGCTCCTTTGCACTGTTCTAATTAACAATCCAGTACCTCTTCTTCACGACCTTTGCAATGGTCTTCATGGGCCAGTACGGATTTTCAGCCAGCTTTTCTGGCCTCACGTTCATGGGGGTCGGGATAGGAACCGTATTTGGAACAACACTTGTCTCAATCTGGAGTGACCGCATCGCCGCAACGTTGCTTCTCAAAGAAGGAGTCAGGAGACCTGAATTTCGTCTACCCCTCATGGCATACTCCGTGCCCATGATTCCAGTCGGGTTAGTTCTATATGGGTGGTCGGCGGAGAAATCCATTTTTTGGTTGGTTCCAATGATCGGCACAACCATTGTTGGTGTTGGCATCATGTTTGTGTTCGTGAGTCAATACTATTCCAACCCGACCAGTCGTGTGGATCTCGATATTTAGAAGCTCAAGATACTAATGAAGCATTCAGACCCCTCTTGCGTCATACCTCGTTGATGCATTCAGCACACATGCCGCCTCCGCTCTCGCGGCTTCCACTATTTTCCGAAGTGTGTTTGGAGCGCTCCTACCCCTCGCTGGCCCTTCAATGTATTCTGCTCTAGGGCTTGGATGGGGAAACACAGTTCTTGCTGCATTTTCTGTTATTATGGCACCAATACCCTGGGTGATTTTGAAGAGAGGGCCGCATATCAGGGAGAGATATGCCCATCGCATGTACTAGAAAGCGTTTCTGATAGCGAACCTACTTCAAGGTGCCAGTGGACTTCCCCAGCAACGTTGGGTTTCGGAATAGTTCAAAATACAACCACAGAGTCCACACTGATATCTACAAAGTCGAAAAGTTAACTCTCGGCTCCGGTGCTAACTCCTGCTTGGTCTCTTGAAATAGATAATGAAGATGAATAAGTAGATGGTTTGGGGTTCGAAACATTTGTACAGGAAGACCTGAGCTCGAAACTGTATTCTTTTTCCTCCCCATTCCATCGGACCGCTCAACTAGCATCTACGTCCAGCTCAACATCGTTTCACGCCATCCTACAAGTCAATTCTACTGCTCAAACAACGATGAACATTCTTGACCTAAGTCCTGCTTGGCAGATATTCTGGGTTCCCTCAAGTGTTCGCCTACCCTGTCCGATACGAGATCTTTGAACGAACCAGGGGGTTCTTCCAGCTGTTGCCGTCTGGAAGCAACGCTGTCTCTTCGTCTCATTCTCACCGGGTCATCACCAGTTGACACAAACTGGCAATAATGAGGGGTACACTACTGCATTGAATGTTAATGAGTGTCCGAGAATTTGCCCGTCGGACAAAACAAGACGCCTCGCCGGAGTCGAGCATCGACCGATCGACTTTCCCATATTTGTAAATTCGGCACAGGTTACGTCACATAAAAGTCTTGAGAGTCTGCCTGGTATTCCTAGCCATAGGGATAAAGCGAAAAAAACATCTTTGCGTTGATGGCGCCTCGCATGATTTCAAATGGAATCACTTGTCATGTACATTATCGTCGTAACACCATCACGATGATCCAGATCACCGCAGGACCTACACGACAGCATCGAAAACACGAAAACTACTGTCAGCCTTGTGCGTCCGTGGAGTCGCATATCCCGAAGCCATCAGAGGGTGGGCGAAGCCCACATCCAACGGCACCCACCTGAGACTGTACAACCTCCCTGGCGATAGTTGCGCGTCCAGCTGATCAAAAATACAAACAAACGTCGTGGCAAATCACAAGGCCGTATTGTAATGTTGACTCTACTCGGAGGGTTGCCTAGCCTCCCCGACCTTCCGGCTTTCATTGCATATTCCCATTGCTGGACTGTCAAGCCCGCACACATTGATTGTATCGGGATTAGTCGCCCCGGCAGTTCCCTTGAGCAACCTTTGGCATATTTCTATGTAGGTAGAAACGAGACGTAAAGACAGCCTATTGAATAACCTTCGGTCGAAGAACGAACATGCCGGCTTATCTACGATACGAAGCGACAGCGGCTCCCCAGCCCCGAGCAGACGCGTCAATAGTCTTCGCAATGGAGACCAAGGAATCTGAGACATCCGCCCACACCGCTTGGCCGCAGGCTTCGAGTCACATGGCAAGTCACAACCCCAGGCTACTAAGCAAGCGGGCGTTCCTTCCGTGACCGCGTAGTCGCCGCCCAGCCCTTACAGATCCCAGAGTTTGGGGTTGTGGCTTGATCTGATAGTTAGGCTGCTAGCGTCCCATTTGGGCAAATTCAAAGCGATTTCGTACATAACAGGTTTGGTTTGGACTAACAACAGAACATGAAGCTAACATGAGCTGAGCCATCGTACGCTAAGGTATCCTATAACGCGAGAGAATCAAACGTAAAGCAGTGAATCAAGCTCTTGACAGCTTGTTCAGCTTCACAAGATATTATTAATGATGGGAAGATGACGGGACTAAAGCTCCGGAAAGACATGCATGACCTTGAATTTTCTCTCCTTACCCCCACGAAAAGCGTAGAGCCAGGCACGTCGATAGGAATAGCGGACGTCACGATGGCAAGAGACACCGCGCTTTTTTTCCTCGATCAGCAGACCCATCCGCTCCACCTTGGGTCGTCAGACAATCAACATTGATCTCGCGAAAGCCAGAGTCTTTGAGAAAGATCCATAGCGCGGTGAAAGAATGTCACTCTGTGGCCTGTAACGCAGTGGGTATGTCTGAAACCTGGGGCAAAGGCTCAGGTAAAACGGAGTCTCTGTAATAAAGTACGCGTCGTGATGGCAAGATCCGAAACTACCGGGCGCCACACGAAGAAAGACAATAAACCAACCTGCTTGCCACAGGCGGACTGGAACGCGCCGGGAAGGAGGGATGGGTGGGGGATCATGGGGTTCGAGATGATGTGCCAAAGACATCCAGAGCAAAACGATCTTGTGGAAGATGGTGTGAAGATGGTGGCTGCCAATGAGACCGTCCTACCCTAACGAGCACTTTTTCCCTGCTCAGAGGACACCATGTTCAACAGCAGGGTCAGTACTACCGCAGAGACTTGGCTGAAGCTGGCTCGGGATTTCTGTTAAGCATAAGACAATGTCAGGGCGTTCTTATTCGCTCCGGAGAAGGAGTCGGAAGTCGGAATGGCAGTTGAGAAGTGACAAGGGTTCCAAATGACACGATGTGGCAGATGCTATGTCGAGGATACGATACATAGCAAATCGTGAGTCCTAGATATACGGTGGGTATCTCCACCAGTTAAACGATCAAAGAATGGGAAAGAAAAAAAGACTCCATGGGTCTGACATGACGCCGTCGTAGGGCTACCTGTAGACTAGTTCCGTGGCTGGCCGTGGCTTCTCGGCCAGCATGGCAATAATATGGGGTAGTGGCTTGAAAGCAAGAAAAAGTGATGCGGGCTCTCGGGGGGCGAGGTTGGATTAGCCAAGGGGTAAGTCATGCGGCATTCCTCTGGGTCCTTCAAGAGCAGGAAGTATAATACGAGAAAGACTGGGGTGATATCCGGCTTCATTGAGAGAAGATTGAGAGTGGGGTGTTGGAGGACGTACATGATGGTGTGAAGGATCGGGAAGGGTGAGCGGAGACTAGCAGTGATTTGTCTGACTTCTTTCTCATGCGGCCGCCACGATGACCGCCTTTTTGTACCAAATCGGACAGATGAGTGAATGTAAGCGCTTTATGCCGATGGCATTTACCACTTCCTGTCATGTTTGCTCGGCATTCTTCCCACCAAGGAGGAGGCAAGTCATTCTGTAAGCTTCTCCGGACTACATGTTGTGCTCCTAGCAGGGGACTGGGATTCGAGCTGCGAACTGCTGCGAGTAACACCGGTCGCATACATAGCCGTCCAATGCTAGCCAGAGAAAGTTGGCCAGTCAGGCAACAGTTGAACATGGCAGTGGACCAGCGAGAAAGTTCACAGGAGTCAGCCACTCGACGAGACGCCACAGTTGGGGCAGGGAACTGACGACCGTTTGATGTCGTCGATTGGGGAATACATGGTGGGAAATGTGAGTGGGTGTAGTCAGTGAACATGGTCTTGATGTGATGGGGTGAACGGAACGGGCGGACAAGTTGAGAAATCGACCTATGTTTTGAAGGAGGGGGGTCCGTGATGGAGGGTGGGGGTTGGCCGTGAAGTCGTCAAGAGAGCAAACGGCGGGGAGGCTGAGGAGAGATCGGCGTAGGGAATGAGAACCCTTACATCCTTGCTGCGCTGGGGTCCGAAGACTATGAGTCTTTGAGTGCATGCAAGGTCTAGAAGCAGTGGTGGACTAGGGCGAAAAGGGATTCACTGGTCCAGACCGGGAAGAGTGTGGCTTGACCCGGGAATGTTGATGGAGCAATGACGAGGCAGCTAGTGGTGCCGAGCGAGAACTTGGTTTACTTGGATATGAACGATAGTGTGCGTGAAACAGGTCCGAGGCGGTGAGCTGATGAGAGTGATACGCCAGTCGGGGAGAGAGTGAGAGTGAGAGTGAGAGGGTGCGTAGCCGTTCAAGTCACCAGGGGAGTTGTTTTGGGTGGTCCATGATTCATGATTTGATGTGTCTGTATCCGTAGAGGCATCGCATCTGATTTGGAATACCGAGCTTGTTCGGAGTGCGAGGAGCGTCAAGAACATGTCGAGAATGATGGCAGGGCCAAGGTGTTAGTTACTTTGGTTTAGGGACATGTATATTTTTTTCCATTTTCAGGCGCAGACGCGCGATGCGCCGGCCTTCGCGTTTGGCCCCGCCAGTCTTCAAAGAGCATGCCGTGGTTCAGACGACATGGAGCTTCCCATCAGAAGATGCGGGCTCTACTGGGATGTTTCACTCGAGCAGCGAGCTGCAAAGCTTGGAGGATGTATCCGTATCCGCAGATGGTAAGTAAGGTATCTCTGGGGGGGGGGCAAAGAAAGGAAAAAGACAAGCGGGCAAACCTGGTCGATGCAGGGATTAGCGTGGACGATGGCGGACGGCGGGCCGCGCGGAGAGGTGGACGAGCCTTGCTTCAAGGTCAAGGTTCAAGCTACCCTTATCCATGAAGCGATTGCGACGACGAAGGGGAGGTGACCGGAAGCCGTACAGTGTATGGTGGTTTGACAGGAAGTTGAACGACGTTGGCGTAGCAGCCTCCCTGCAGCATCGGACCTTTCCCGGGCATCTTTGTGCGATGTGATTGTGCGCCCACGAGGTAGAGCTTGTGCGAGAAAGCACGACAGGTACGATTTCGTCTTGGCTCGCAACCAACGCGGGTTCGAGGGAAGCCGACGATAGAGAGGATAGGAGGTGGCTTGCTGCCGTCGGGGCGCTGCGCTACCATCAACCCCATAAGGCACGGATATGGCTGGCGTCATCGGCTTGAGCCAGGCTTGGCCGATGCCGTTCACCGAAAGAAGGCGACTGTCGTCGGGTAACTGCATTATGCTGACCTTGTCCCAAAGGGAGCCGGTGAGACGGGTGGCTACTGGCCGAGGCTGCAACGGGGTCTCAAAGAGGAGGCAGATGCAGGTTTGACTGGGGCAGAAAGGGTTCGGATGGACCACCGCGGAGGAGAAACAGGCCAGGAAAACTGTCCGATGAGCAAAGATTCCTTGAGAGAAGAGAAGCACTGGGCACTGCCGGCCGGGGCAATGATGACAAAAACAGCACCTAGCCACTCGACGGAGGTGTCGTTGTCTCGGCAGCTGAACCCCTGTGAGGCGAGCCAGCCAGATGGCAGAGGTTGGTGGACGGGAGTGTCGACTTGTCAAGAAAGGCCATCATGCGGTCGGCCGAGAGTCGGGCTGGGCAAGTTCACTAGGACTTTGCGACATTGAGAGGGCCATGGGATATAGCAACTTTGAAGCATTCGCAAAGCCGTCATGTTGGTTAGTGGCGGCGTGGGGGATGTCGAAATGTATCAAGAACAACAAGATCAATACGCACGAACAGGGCGGGAGGGAGCCAAGACAACGATCGGACTGAGCAATGCGCCGGTCTCGCATGGCTTTGGGGTAATTAACTTACGACCTACCTTGTTACTTGACTCGGTCGTATACCTATACTAATTACTTGCTACCTCTTACTCGTTGAGCTTTTGCTGCAGCAATCAACCCTATCTTGCTCGTCTAGTCTAGTCTTGTCTCTTCTCTTCTGTCTCGTCTGTGTGTCTCTCCAGACGATGGGCACTGAGGTATTCCCCATCAAGCGGCTGCATGCGTAAACACACTCTAATACTGCGCAGCACGAGCAGCATGCGGGTGTGTGTCTGCGTGGGGTGGGATTCATCGCGTCGCGTTGCGTTTGATGTCGCACAGCTGCAACCCTGGAGCGGCGACGACTCGCGCGCGGCCCCGCGCCTTGCCCGACATGGCAGGTTAAGCTTGTAGGGAGCAGGCCGCAGTTGAACTGCCATGGCCCGTCTGGGTTGCTTTTCTCACGGGTGACTGACGAGTCAAGATCGTCGAGTGACGGGTTTGATGTAACTCTTTTGTGTCCTTGGGACGAGACGTCGCGCTGCAGTCAAAGGGTAAGGTAGTAACGCAGCAGGTGAAAGACCAAGACCCGTGATGCTAGATGGGCTCGAGATAGGCGAGACACTGAGCGGGACCACTCGGGCTTGCCATAGACATTGAATGAACCCTGCTGTGACTACAATGCAAGATCAGGGAGATGAGAAAAAGCAAGTTGCTGAGAGACATGGACGGCTTTAGGGGTTCGTCGGCATGGACCATGATTGGTGCTGATGATGTTATTGACAGACTCTGATATCGAATAATCCCGCCATTCGAGGTCTTGGAACTCAAATACGACCCCAGCGCGTCGAACATCTGAGATGCGAATCCAAGATGCACATCATCGACTGAGACTATCATCGATACGAGTGGAGAGAGAGAGAGAGAGAGAGAGAGAGAGAGAGAGCCAACGCTGTTGAAAACACGAGGCAAGCAGGCAAATGTTTGCTGAGAGTCCAATCGTCAAGATGTCGCACAGGGCGCCAGGCGCCTGAAAAGGGTCCCAGCATGCTGGTTGCTACTGTGACACGGATGCTCAGTTCAGTGGGTAGTCTCACCATCATTGACAAACGGCCGGCCGGCGGATGAGCGGCGGGCTCTACCTTACCGACGGATTATTGATGTGTGACTTGCTGAGAATGAAGTCAAATTCGTGAAAGTTCTTGACGCTTCATTCAACATGACCGGTATGAAGCGAAGCGGCAGCAATCCAGGTGTGGGTGGGCATGAGAGGCTGGTGATCCCACAGCTCATGATCCATCCAATACTGACAGCCGCTTTTGGCACCTTTGTCCCTGGCTCGCCTCCTCCCGACGCACAGCAAGTGATGGGAGGTGCGGGATGTATCGAGAAGGGAACCGGTATTTCCAACCACACTCCTTGGGCACGGCTGACTGCGCTTGACACCGTATCTTTTCCCCATCTATTTTATAGATTGTACCATTGAGAAGTGGCCCCCTCTTTGGACCCCTCCGTTACGGCGAGCCTAAATGTCTTGACCTGGGCAAGATGGGTGGCTGAGGGGTACGGAGTAGAAAATGAGTGCATCATGGGGTCGCCGCGTGATGGAGGCACGCCACCTGCTTCTTGACGGATGGTGGTGAAGGGGGGTTGACGATGGCAAGAAGTGAAGTAAAGACAATTGAACCTTGGGTGTGATGTGTGCGCGCGTGTGTGTTTCTTTGCAGGCTTCAAGAGTCGAAGAGGGAAATGATCAAATGTTTGCTCGTACGAGAACAAGAGTGAGTGTCTTGGGGTGCGAGGAGTGAGGCTCGACTAACACGGCATCCGGGCGTGGCTTGGCGTGAATATGGACATGAGCATGGGTTTAGACCAGAGGAGGAGTGCAGCAAAGGGGTTGGCAACATGGGTGAAGTGAGGAGGGGGCGAAGGCAGGTTCACCAGATACCTTGATGTAGATGCCTACGGCAATTACGGAGTAGGAATACTGTTGCGCATGGTTGGAATACTAGGAGGAGTGTATACCTGGCTTAAGATGAAGGGCTGTACTACCTCGCTTTGAGCTACGTGAGGTATCGTGGGCGTACTGTTGTGAAGCGAGACCTAACTTAGTATGAGACGAGCATGAGGAAGAGGGTGCTGCTCTTAGAAGGGAGCTCCATCGTATGTCTATGGAGGGTGTTGTTTGTCTGGGCTTTTTTACCTACCTTAACTTGAGGTATATGAGGATGGGTGATTCCGAGTCTGCCGTTAGAAGGCATCCTCCAGTTCCAAGGTCCCAATTCCTCTCACCTCACTTCTGCACCATCTGAATCTCATTATTAATAGGAGCAACGCCGTCTCTTAAAGGTGCCTAGCTTAGCGGCTTCAAAGCTGGCCGCCGATTTCCCGCCCGCGCCTCACAACATCTTCGAAGCCCTTTTGGGAGTAACAGAAAACCAAAGCTCCAGCCTCCAGTCAGCTCACCAGAGCACCGTGGACTGCTTACCGAACCCTGCTCCGAGTGAAGCGACACGGTCCGCCAGGCCTCAAAAATGACCCCTGAGCATCGGCAGTGCTTTATCTGGACACTGGAGCTCTGCCGCAACGGATAGCTGGGATTATCATCGCCTCCTTGACAAGTTTACCCCCGCAGTAACGCCCGCTAGGACAATCTCTCCCGCCTGTTCACGACAGAACCGTGAGAACTAGCAGAGAGAGGGACAGAAACATCGACACATCGTCACTGCTCCTAGAGTACTAGGCTCTGCAGCTTAGCACTTGCCCCTTCGAGGTACGTACATAATCTTGGTTGCCCAAAGCTCCCCCTTCTGCCAGCCGTGAGTGACTTGCCTCCTCCCGTCTGCCCTCCAGCAAGATCCTGGCACGTTGAAGCTGTCTGGTCCAGTTGATCTAATCTCCAACCTCCTAGGTCAAGGCTCGAGGGAGGGCCGAACATCTGATTCGCCGATTGGGTCATCTGGCGGTATCTTGGTATCAGCTTCCGCCATCATCGACCCCAGTTGCGACCTTGAGCATAGAAACTCGAACCTCGAACCTCGCTCGACCTGAATCAACTTTGACTCTGGTCACAGTCCGTTCATCGTGTTCACTATTACTATTTCCTCTTTGCTTGTTCCACTTCACTCGCGTCACCCACAACAATATCCAGCAAGCCTGACATTACGAACCCTGCTCTTATCGTGGTACTTTACCTTACCTACCTTACGGATACCCCAGCTATATCTGTCCGGTCGCCCCCTCTCAACCCCTTCTCATCCAGCCGCATATCCATGCAGCGTCAGATCACCCTTTGGATCGACTACCTACTATCGAGACTATCACTGGCGCCATCATTGCACACTTGGGCAGCGAAAAGAAAGACGGACCCTTCCTCTGCGTTACGCTACATAACGCTACCGAGACCACCGCCGTGCCCCGCCGCCTCCTGTCCCATTTGGGATTTCCCCTCCATCACGTGCTCCAGCGTCCGACTCTTACAATAGTCCTTACATAGCACGTCCGGGCCAGTAGCATCGTCGCTCGTCTCTCACCTGCAGACGAGACTCACCACTACCGCGTAGACCTTTACGTCTTACGGTTTCCCGGGGCAAGGTTGGCAGAAGCTTTCCACCAAGGTTCACCGTCGAAGATACCAACGACGAAATCCTGACTCGAGACGACGACGGACGCAGCTCGGCTTCAGCACCAAACACCGGGATACACCCCCCTCTTCCCTGGCCGCTCACTCTCATCTTGTCGAGTGTTCTTGCTGCTCACTCACTTTATCACTCACCTAAGCAACACTCTGCTTGCTAATCGCATTGCCGCTGTCGCTGTCAGACTGAGTTATTCCCGATCAGAGTGGAGCAAATTGCAACATTCATCACACATCCTCATCAACAACCTTCACACGCTCTCATCGTCCTTCACCTTTGCAAACCGCATCTGACCGAGGCGCACCGCTTTTGCCGCCCGCTCGGCATCCTTGTCGCACCTCACACCTCAGACCTCATCCCTCACACCTTACATCTCACACCTCACACATCCCGCCTCGCACACACATTACACACCCTCTATTACTCTTAGTCTCTTGCTCGCTCTCACATCACACACTACTCGCTTCTCCCTACGCTGCTCGCACTGCTGTCTGTCTGCCCACCTCAGGTACCGACCGTGTGGACTGGGCCTGGACTGCTGCATAACCCTCAGGGACCAAGACCTTGAGAGAGCTCGCATTGTCATCTCACCTCTCACCTCACTTACCTCTCTCATCTGGCCTACACTTCCACCAGGCCCTCAGCTACGCATACTCGATACAACCTACCCCGTACTGCTTGGACCGGCTTCAATCGCAGTGCCATCACTGGCCATCACCTACTGGGCACTACCTCATCTCAGTGAGAGCACTCGACCCTCAGTGCTCAGTGAACCTCCACCCAGTGAGGGTGAGGATTGCCCCCACCACCACCGTCTCCAGCCGGCGAAAGCAGCCCGCTCACTGCCCTGCAACTGGGGCCCCTCGGCGAGTCCACAGCGCTCTCTGCCCACTGAAGGCGCAGCGCCCGCAGCTCCCGCGCTCTCCTCCTCCACCACTCTCCACTGCCTGCGTCTTCCCGCCTCTTCCACTTCGCTCCTCTTTTTCCCTCTTCCCCCTCCTCCTCGAATTCCCCCTCCACACTCCCTCCACCTCCTCTCCTCCAGCCAAAATGCCTTCGACCAACGGCTCCGAGTATCGCCATATGCGAAGTAACAGCCTCAACATCCAGCAACAAAATGGCCATCCCAGTCCTATCCTAAGCCCAATGGCCTCCAACGCATCCACCGCTTCCGCTGCTAGATTCGACGGCCCGCGCAGTCCACCGAGTATGTCACCTTGCCTCTGTCTCTCCTCCTCTCCATCGTCGTTTTCCTTTCTCTCTATCGCTCTCTGCTTCGCTTCCGAGGCCGTCAGTGCCCGTCGCTGTCTCACGTCGGCTCTGCTACGATGGCACGCCGCTGAAGCTCGTCGGCGTGGTCGCCTCGCCTTCCCTCCCGCCGGTGGTGTCGTCTGCAACACGTCGCACCGCACCCGTCCTTGAGCAACCTGCGATTGCCCCTCTGTCTCTTCTCTGTCCTGCATCAAGTAATTCATCCTCGGCTGACCTGTCTCTTCCCTTGCGCTACAGATACTTCCCACGTTCCCTGCAAATTCTTCCGACAAGGAGCCTGTCAAGCCGGCAATGCTTGCCCCTTCAGTCACGATCTAGGCTCTGCCGCCGAGAATATCTGCAAATACTTTGCAAAGGTGCGTCATTTCCCGCCTTCGACCGGGCGGCATCGCGACAACTCCCTCATCCTCATGTGTTCCGCCCCTCCATCCTGTCGGGTTGCTCTGCTCTACGGAGTACTGTTACCCCTCGGCTACACAGACCATCCATCCCACCCTCGAGCCCGTGCCCCTCGCATCCCGGCAACCCCTGCCTGCTATAGCATCATTTGCGCTTCTTTGGGTTGCGGAGCGCAGATAAGAAAGCTAACGCGGTTGACGTGATTGTAGGGCAACTGCAAATTCGGCCCCAAATGCGCAAACATACACGTTCTCCCCGACGGCCGACGAATTAACTATGGCAAGAATGGCGTCACGATTGGCAACTCTCCGATAGCCCTCGGCGGACGAATCAATCCCACAGCAGCCTCCAACTACCATCCAACCAGTGCCCTCACCTCTGGCCTATACCGCGAAGGCGTCCCTCCCTATACTTCGGCATACCCTTACGGCGGTGACGAGAGACAGCAGTCATTGGGTCGCCAGCCCAGCCTCGAGAACGGCCTGCCTACGATCGATACCACCTACTCCCACCCCGGCTCCAACTACGGTTCGCCCCGCGATGACGATGCTTCAAGATTCGGCCTCGGCTTGTCTCCTGTCAATGCCAACGGACCTTCAGTACTGGACGCGCCGCTCCCAGCATCCTTCGACTCCCAAGGCATGTCTAATGCCGCCCGGTTCCCCGCCGCGCCGTGGCCCTCATCCGTCCCTTCGAAATTCGGCATTGAGTCCCCCTCGTCCTCTCTGAGCAACGCCAAAGATTCGCGAACATCCGAAACCCTCAAGATGCTCCACACCTCGGCATTCGGTGGCAGCGAGTATCTTGCTGCGGCCAATGTCACTGCTTCCAGCAGCCCTCCCGGTCAGCCCGAGGAATACTTTGGCAAGCGAGCCATGCATTCGAGCCGATACGCGAAGCCAAAGATGCTCAGTTCGAGCATGCCGAAGACATCCGCCGTCGACCACGACTGGGAGGCCAATTTCGGGTTCTTGGAGGAGGATTGCGTGCCCTCCAACTTGCAGGATCTCTTGACGCCGACTGAGAAGGCCCGTCGCGGCTCTCTGCGCACTGTTGACGGTGAGCCGGGCAGCGAGAATGGTACCAAGTTTGGCAGCCCCATCGGCGGCGCGAGCCCGAGCAGGTGGGGCCCGCTATTCCAGCGCCAGAAGGAAGAAGAGCTTGGCCACAAGCATGGGCCTTCGGTTTTTGGGCATGTTGGAAGCCCTCTCCGAAACTCGGTGCTTTCGAACGAGATGGGTCACGGCAGTGCCATGGCCCGACCAATCGGCTCCCGTGCCGGCAGCGAGTCCATGTCGGCACTCACACAACAGCTTCAGCGCACACGGCTGGGTGACGACGGAAGCGGTAGCCCCCACTTGCATCCTTTGGCGGCCACGGGCCGAGCCCCGAGCAACAACGGCGCTGGGCCCATTGGCAAGGAACGGGACCGCGCGATGGAGCGTCACGTCTCGAGCGGATCCATCAGCTCCTCCGTTACAGGACGATACACCACGCCCATTGACGAGGAGGATCCCGCCTTCGTCTTCAACATGGAGGAAGAGGAAGACCAGTCGTCGGCACGGCTCCGGAAGCGTGGCTCGGCCGGTTTTGGCATCGGTGGTGGAGGAGGTGGATGGAGCTACGCCAACGCCCTATCCAACAAAGGTGCCACTTCTGGTTCCGGCTTGGCCAAGGAACAGCGAGAGCCATCGGTCAGCGTTGAGACCGTTGGCGGGCGCTGATGCTATGTGCTTCACGGCGGGTCGAAGGAAATCTTCAAAAAAAAAATTTACCGGCAACTAGAAAAGCTTAGCGACAGCCTTGCAAGTGTCACGCTTCCGGTGGCATTCTTTTCACAAGTCTCGACATTTACACCCTGACGAAACTCTACGACACTCACAAATACATATTTCAGCCACGATTTTCACAGCATGCATGGGCAAAAGCCAAACGGAAAACGAAAAATTCAACCGGTCTACAAAATCAATGGGACACGAGCAAAGGGATCGGATCTACACGGTGGCTTGCTTATACAACAGGGCAGGGAGTTTGTTGGAGTTTTGTCGACGCTGAGTCGCTTTGTCGGCTCTCGAGGATTGAATATTGAAGGATTAATACTACCAAATGGCTCAACATAGGATGACTCGCAGATATGGAAAACTGGCTGTCAAAATCTTGCGGCACATTGTTTCATTGGCTTTGTCCTAGTTGTAGCGTGGTTTCTCGATGCTTGGAGCAGGTTGGGAATCCCGGACACGTCAAGCAGAGGATGGCATTTGCTGCTGATACTTGGCTAGGGAAGGCAACAAATGACTGGGGAGAAACATCTGGCTTTGGCTGGCACAAAAGTCACAGGTCGGCTGGCTGTGTGACTCGGCACCGCATTAGAGACGCCTGGAAGAGGAAAAGCAGATACCACCGTCTAATTTTCGTTCATTATATAAAAGCTGATTTATTGAGATTAACAATGACCGTACGATTGAATGGTATTATCTGTTATTGTTAAGGTAGATCACCATAATAATCCTGAGGTGATGAGTGTCACAACTCTATATGCATCACAACCATGACCCAATTTGCCTTTAGCTGCCGTAGAATAAGCGCCCAGCTGGCCCACACATTGCTCGCTGTATCTGAACATACCGAATGATTCCGTATCTCCATTCCGCTAAATCCTCCTTCTGAAGACTGCGGAGACCACACAAGTCACGAATCGGATAGACCAAATGTTGAAGACGGGCCGCAAAAGGAAGTGGACTGGTCACGAAGAAAACCCCGCCAATGGGTGACGAAAATCTATACACTAATACAAGGCAAAACGTCAACAGGGCCCAGAGATGTCCAACTCCAGATCATGTCGCCATGCCGTTTATGCGCGGAGGCCGCGCCGTGGGCTATCGTACGGAACCGTCCACCCACACACATACACACAAAGATAAGCCGTTATTGCCTCTCTCTCTCTCTCTCTCGCCTTCCCTCTTTTGCCCCCAATTCCCGAAAACAAAGAGTTCCTCAAGAGCAGACGCAGCGTCTTTTGTTTCCCTCCCGTTCTAGTTGCGAGTGGCGTGGTCGATGCCCGAGGGGCAGGTTATTGTACAGACCGCCGGGGAGACGGATTCAGTGGAGGAATGGGATTGGGATATTTAGTGGGCATCGGGCTGGCTAACAATGTACTCGACCGCCTTGTCGACTGTAGATGGTTGGTTAATATTTGAGAATTCAAGATGGGAAGGGTTACATGGAGAGCGTACTTGAGTGGATGGTGTCGGCGTCCTTGTCGGGGATCTCAATGCTGAACTCCTCCTCAATGGCCATGACAACCTCGACGGTGTCCAAGCTGTCCAGGCCGAGGTCGTTGGCAAAGTGAGCGTTGGCCTTGATCTACACATGCGAACAGACGCTGGTCAGCTTTGCGGTTCGCTACTAGCTACGAGAGCGCAACTCAATTGATGCGGGTGGTATATGCTGGCAGGTCTGGGAAGGGCGAAGAAGGTGACGTACGTTGGCCGGGTCGTTGACCTTGTCGAAACCCTGGAGCAAAGCAAAGATGCGGCCCTCAACCTCCTCCTTGTTCAGGCCGGTGGCGGCAGAGTACATGCGAACGGAAATGGCCTTGGGAGCGGCGCGGAAGGCAGCTGGGGGCGCGACGAGGGATCTCCGGGCGAGGGGAGCGGACTGCTGGACGGCGGGACGGATGGCGCGCGTGGCGGCGGCCGCGGAACGGAGGACTGCTGTGCGGAACATTTTGGAGTATATGTGTGGATTGAGAGAGACGAGGCTTCGGGAGCTGCTGGCGATGGAGATTGGGTTCGGGATGGAGGAGATGGAGGTTTCGGTTGGTTGACGGCTAAGCTGGGATTTGATGGGAGCTTCGGGGTGGTGGAGGAGGTACTGCGAGGTGCCAGTGATGATGATAAATTTCTCGTCACCCCCCGAGGTGTCCCTGGCTAGCTCCCGGGAGGTGCACGTGCAGGGTCATGTGACTTGTGAGAATCTTGGATTTTGATACATCACCAGACCGGATGGAGGGAATGTAATGAAATAATCAGTACCACGATCAAAAAATCATCAGATACTCTGATAAGAATTTACAGCATCAATTGACTTACGTTGGTGAGTGAAGCCGTCATCGTCGAGTCCCAGGAGTATTTCTTCCGTCCCTCCATCTCCCGGACGGACCACGTGACCTGTCCACAGCCAATCAATTGCCGCCCTTTGTAATCCCGCACCAAAGCTCGCCTCTGGATGCCGAATGTCCATAACGTCAAGCTCTCAACGCCCCGGAACATCCTACTCCCTCACCACGCCGTACACCTCGCCCCTCCCCGTCGTCCTCAACCCTCGATCCGACCCCGGAAACCCCCCAATTTGCCCGGTCAATTGGCGCCGACGCATCTTCTTCTTCCTCGAGGAAACCATAGCACAATGCCTCCCGCGGCCCAGCTTCCCGTCACCATGTTGGCCCTGGCGTCAACAAGGCCGGTCGCGAGAAATCCGTCGGCCGCCATGCAGCACGTCGGCAGGCTGATGGCTGCCAACGCCATGCGCACCTACGCCACGCCCGCCGGTCCCCCTCCTGCCAACTTTCGCATGAAGAGACATCAGACCTGGGACGAGGACCAGGAGTCCACAATGAACAAGCTTGGTCGTTATTTCCTGCTCTCCGAGATGGCGAGAGGAATGTACGTCCTGCTCGAGCAGTTCTTCCGCCCGCCCTACACCATCTACTACCCCTTTGAGAAGGTGAGCAAACCAACTTTTTCGACATTTGCGATCATTTCGGAAGAGACAATGGAGGAATTGAGGACCTAAGGTGGTTACGAGGTGCCCATACGGGGAGCGCAGGAAGAGCCGGACCATTGCCGAGATTAGGAGGACACGCATCGACCGCTGCCACCGCACGATACCACCAACACAACGAGGAGAAGAGAGGATGATTTCAGACAAAACAGACACATTCGAGAGCAAGACGGCTAACAGGAATTTTTCAGGGTCCCATCTCCCCCCGCTTCCGTGGCGAGCACGCCCTCCGCCGCTACCCTTCCGGTGAGGAGCGCTGTATCGCCTGCAAGCTTTGCGAGGCCATCTGCCCGGCCCAGGCCATCACCATCGAGGCCGAAGAGCGCGCCGACGGCTCCCGCCGTACCACAAAGTACGATATCGACATGACCAAGTGCATCTACTGCGGTTTCTGCCAAGAGTCATGCCCCGTCGACGCCATCGTCGAGTCCCCCAACGCCGAGTACGCCACCGAGACCCGCGAGGAGTTGCTGTACAACAAGGAGAAGCTGCTGTCCAACGGTGATAAGTGGGAGCCGGAGTTGGCTGCCGTTATCCGCGCCGATGCTCCCTACAGATAAGACTTGGCCTCTTTCAAACGAAATATAGAAAGAATTTTCTCTGTTCGAGGGCGTGGCGGTGGTAGAGAGCGAGACGTCGAGGAATCACACCTTTTTTTTTGCCTTTTTTGCAGCTTAATGCCGGAAGGATGGACACATCGAGGCGGACGCGAAGGGGGGACGGTCGCAGGACAAATGAGGGCCGCGGCACCAGTGATCTTGGCATGTTTTGTATTTTTACAGACAGGTCGGGGTCGGTTAGACCTGTGTAAATATCTCTCGCGAAAAGCAACCTTTTTCTTTTGTCTGTTGACCACCGTTGCCCCCAGTCTTGTGTGATGGCAACCCTAAGGGTTTACAAACGCCATTGTGTTGCAAGCCTATTTCTTCCAAGTTATATGCCACCTAGATTCGCATCACGTTGGGCAGGGGCGTTTAGATTGGAAATGAAGAGATGAATATTAGTGCAGCTTCATAAACAAATGTCTCTACCAAGTGTTCATCACGCGTGACCTCGCGGATTCATAACCACAAAGCGAGAAGAGACAATCCGACCAACGCCTTGCTCTGATATCATGGGCCAAGCTTGGGCAACGCCAGCTACCTCAAAATGACACGCTTCCGTTTCTTTTCTCCTTCCAACTTGGTAGCGCGAGAATCCCTTCAACATCTTCATCACAGACATGACCACGTTCCTACGTCCCTACCCTATGCACCTCGAAATCAAAACGTCTTCTCCCAAGCTCCCCACCATACACCCATGTTCGCGGCCACCACCAGATCCAACATCTTCAACCCCTCAGGGTAAATAATCAGCTTGCCCAACTTGGCCCTCTTCCCCCGGTTGCCGCCACCAGCTCTCTCCTTGCCGAGCTTCAGATCAAACGGACTGGGCGGCTCGTCCTCATCACTATACTCGCCATTTCGGTTACCGACGTTGAGCAGCCGGCTAAAGTGTCCGCTCAACTGCTCCCTCTTGCCCTCCTGCTTGAAGATCTCCGTGCTGGGCAGGTTGAACCGCAGCTCGCTCACGCTAGCCGAGTACGAAGATGAGCTCGATGGCGCGAGCGGGTTACTCAGACCGCCGGCTGTAGGCAGGACGTGTCTGCACTTAACACTACGCCCAGCATTCCCCGTGCGGAACTCGCAACGGCCATCCCAGGGTGAGACGAACACGTACCCCTGGGGCCGGAGACCGTGGCCAGGTTGCGTGATGATGGGGCCCGAATCGCTTCCATTAGAAGATACGGAGCCCGTCGAGTGTGCGCTTAGTTGGCGCGAGTGGCGGTGGGTAGACCTCGCTGGGGACGAGCCGAAAGGTACTGAGTCGCTTTCGTCCATCAGGCTACCTGAGCGCGATCGGGAGCTGAACTTTTCGCGAATGTTGGAGGACCAGGATTTGGTGTATGACATGACGACTTGGCGCGAGAAGCCGCCCTCGGGAGACTGTTGCTGCTGTTGTTGCTGCTGCAGGTGGTTGAGCGCGTCCTCCGAGTTTGCAAAAGGGGGAGCGGTTGTCGTTGATGTTGGTGGCATGTCCACGCTCTGGCGCAGCGGCATGTGGCGAAACTTTGCGTAGCCAGAGGACTCGAGACGGATGTTGATGGGAGGTTGAGGGGCGTTTGCGCGGCGGCGGTCGTGGGCTGAGATGCCTGCCGAGTCGAAGGAGAAGTACTCGTACCCGTCGTCGCCAGAGTCCTCGAGCTGGTGGGAGGCGACGCGGCCTACGTTCCACTGGTTCCCTGTGCTCGGGTCGCGGCGGATGAGGGAGAGGGTGTAAGGGACCTCCTTTGTGTTGTGGAAGCGGTTCGGTGACGGGGAGCGAGATTGTTGGCGGTAGATGGAGGTCGGTCTGGAGTAGCGGCGTGAACGCGCGGGCGACGAGGAGGGTTCCTGCGGCGGCATGCGGGAGGGGGACTGGGAGGGCGAGGCGCGGTGAAGATCTTGAGGAGGGGGAGGAGGTCTGGAGGCAAAGGGCGTGTCGTAGTCGGGTGCCGGGGTCGGGATGGCTCGCGGGCCGACGGGTTTGCGTACCGGGGCCGGAGGTGAGTGGGAAGTTGGTCGCGGAGGCAGCTCCGGGCGGTCCTCTGTCCACCGGGGTTGGCAGGGGTCGTTGCCTGTGCCGCAGCCGATGCCGTACCCCGTCGCATTCCCGGTGCCGTAGCCGTAGCCGTACAAGCCGGAGTTGCGGTTGCCGGCGGCCGCTGGGTGTGAGCCAGGAGTCGGAGGTTGAGGCTGGGGCTGGGTCTGGGTCTGGGTCTGAGTCTGAGTCTGAGTCTGAATCTGAGTCTGTGCCTGAGGGGGCAGATGGGCGCGGGCTGGATCAGCCGGCGGTGAGGGCACCTTTGCGCCGGCGACGGGTTTCCTCCGGATCTGAGCCGTGCTGCGGGTGCTATCCATGCTAGACCTAGGCGTATCCGGTTTGCGAAGATGGTGAGGTTGCTGAGAGCCAGCTGCTAAGTTTGGGTGATATGGGTGACTGCCATCACTGGGCAACTCCAGGTGGATGTAGTAAAATGAATTTGCGACATCTTCGCTAGTGACATTTTTGAGATGAGGTTTTGACGTTGTCAATATGACGTCTGCGGGGTTAATGCGTTAGGTGGTGTGATCGTGAGGTTTGAGGGCAAAGGTGAGAATGAAGATGAGAGACTTACCTCGCGTGCCCGGTACACGTGAAATGTAGAGTGTGAGGGGATCTTGACGTTGCTCGGCTGGTCTATGAGGGTATTGCGGGGGATTTGCGGCGAGGTAGTTGAGCGAGGTCAGAGACCTAGCCTCAACTTGTGTTGACATTTTTAAAGAGTGAATGTAGTTTTTGTTCCGCTTCAAGTGTGCCCAAGCAGAGGGGCGGGAGGTGGTTGTGAGTATATCTGGCTCGATGCAGGTCGGCGGAAGGATTCCCGGGTGGTTAAGTGTTGTTGTGGTTGTGGTGGTGTGGTGTGTGTGAGTGAAAAAAGGGTGGCTGAGCCAAGGGGTGATGTGAGGCGGGAGGTTCACAGCCCGCTCGCACTTTAAGGGTACTCCCTTGTGCCTTATGGATACTCAACTCAAGGGCCAAATGCCGTGGACGACGGGGATGTTGAGCAGCGAGCGAGAGGGGAGACCAGGGAGCTGGCGCTGTCAAATGTCACGGCTGGAGCTGGTGTGGGTCGGGAAAACGGGGTTATGATGGAGAGAGTTTGTAAAAAGGTTGAGCTTAAATGAGGGAAAAGATTTACTTCATCTGGTAAATCTCACTCGCTCGGTTTCTCTCTTCGGTTTGCCTATGGCGGTGGTGGTGGTGGTGAATCTGAGTCTGGTTTGTTGTATCCGTACGGAGTACAATGTGAGTGAAAATGGTGTGTGAGTTGAGCGATGAGAATTGAATGCAGAGCGCTGGATAGAGTATCGCGTGGTTGGTGGTGGTGGTGGTGGATGGAATCTGAGCGAGATGTGATCGACGTGCAGCTGCAGGACGGGTGGTTGGGGGCGTTTGAATTAAAGACGGCGAGGGCTGGACGTGGACGTAGAAGATGAGCAAGAGGAAGAGGGGCGAATGAGAGATACTAATATCGCGCGTTGCCTGGTGGGTACGGATATCTTGCTGCTCGTTGCTCCAGTTGTTTGCTCGTGTATTCGTAAAGAGCGGGAGTAAAGCGAGGGAGTGAGAAGTGGTTGGCTCGTTGTGCTGGTGATGAGGTACCTCAGTTCTGTTGTAAGTATTAGGAGGCGAGTCGACACTCAAAGAAGAAACGAGAAAAATAGAAACGACGGCAGGACAAGGGAAGCAAGTCCCCGGATCTGCAGTAGCGGCCGGAAGGGATGTACGGGATTATGGTGCCTGGCGAGCCGCAAAAAAAGGCCTGTCGTCTTCTCTCTTCTTCCAAGTTGGCAAGACAAGCACACGAGTTGCTGGGATGTGTCGGCACTGTTTGGGTCGCTTTCAACTGCGGATACCGACGGTCCCTTGGTAAGAAGCGAGTTTCTTTCTGTTTTGCTTTACTATTTGTCTCTCTATCGACTCGGCGTGCTGAGACTTATCCAATGACAAAAACGAGTCGTAAGCTGGATGTGGCTGTGCTGTGCTGTGCTGTGCTGCGCTGCGCTGCGATGTGATCAAAAGTAGCGAGATGGCGGCGCTGGTGACTTTGCAGCGTGCGGTCCCGTATACGTGTCCGTTCCGTAACCTTGGTGATGAAAGGTCTTGAAGGTATTGCTTCTTGGTGCCGGCGCCCGGTGCGTTGTTATTTGATTCCTTCTGAAGCTTTCTCAATGCCCTGGAGGAAGACTATGTTCCAATGCCGTGACGGGTTCGGAGTCAGCGACGGCACCTGAATAGGCTGAAATTAATGATCTGGGCTTGACAGGGTCTAGAGCTTTGTCCCGTGAAATGAGAGTGGGCAGCTGGTGGTTTGTGCTGTTCTTGGCATGAGATGGGAAAATGAGGTTTGAGCGAAAAGTGAAGATGTTCAGTCTACAGCTTTTGGCGGGAGACAAGCTGTTTCCCCTCTTTTCACGCCTCGATGCTTCAGAAGTTCAGTCTGAACTTTGTATGCATCGGAGAGTTGCGATATGCATGGAAGATCTCCTCGGGAGGATTTGGGGGCCTTGGAGCGGGAAGAGAGGGGGTTTGTGCTATTTTTCGCATGCTTTTTTACGCGGAACTCTGCAGATTCCTAGTGTGGGCGAGCTTTACACGGACAGTAGTGAGTGAGTGGGATGGATGGACCACACGAATCCAGAAATTAAAGGTCTCCTGAACGCCTGAGATTGTCCATGACTGAAACAAAACCTCCAAGTGATCTTGCCGCAGCCGCATTGAATATCGCTAGGTAGTGGTTCATATTCCCTACACTACACAATCATATGTCGATGAGGGGATATTGTGGTCTCTAGAGGGTTACATTCCTATGCGGGTAGGGCCAGGAGATGCTGGAGACGAAGGGGCCCGAGCTGTGAGGAGCTTTCCGTTTACGAGGATGTCCAGTGCAGAAGAGGTTTGCGGCCCATTTGACTCTGACGAATAAGCATATCCGCAT